TCTGGTTGTAGCCAGGGCATGACATTACCCCCCCTTGTAACCCCTTCGCACCCTCGCGATGGGTAGGCGCGTTTTTTCTGGGCAGTCACCTGACATTCACGTGGTACCCGAAAATTTTCATGTTGAAGTCCGTCAGATCCTTGCTTCTCCCTTTCTTCCACCGCCTCAGTTCTTACGAGTCAAACTCTTCTAACTGCGATGTCTCCTATCCCTACTCGACCTCTTTCACGCACACCATCTCCCTTGTTACCCACCCTCACCGCTTTGGGAAAGGTACCTTCCCCGGCTCCTGAATCCGATGGGGAGGTGGAGTTGGATCAGCTGGCATTTACCATCGAGTCGCCATCTCGTCCCCAACTCCAGTTATTCGAGACAGTGTTCAACACTGGCAAGCCATTATCGGGTTATTGTCAGGATGACCCTTTGTGGCCTCTTCTTGCGGAGGTAGCTTCTCCTTGTTCCAACTGTGTCAAGTCCCCGGGCAAATGTAAGGTTCTGCCGAACTCCCCTCGCTGTACCAACTGCTCTGCGAAAAAGACTTGTAGTCTGGGAAAGGTCCTTCGGTATCGGTATTTTGCTCGTCGGTGCAGTCAAGACATTGCATACAGCCGTAGGTTTTTGGAGCTCCACGGGACTCCCACACATCAATCGACATGGGGTATTCCTTTGAGTACCTGGCGCCAATACGATGCTGCCCTTCAAGCTCGTACCTCCTCGACCTCCATCCTCCTAGAACTCAACATGCTTGACGAGAAGGATACCGCTGAGACTGACCATCAAGAATTACAGAAGTTCCTCGCTTTGCAACAGGGTGAGGCAGTCATCGCGGCGAATCGTAAGCGCGATCGTTCCCCTTCGCCTGTGGCTGGTCCTTCCAGCAAAAAGGTTCGGTCGGACGGTTCCAAAAAGCGTTCTCGTCGTAGGGTCCCTGTAGAGGGGGCAGCTCAGGAGTCTCCCCGTCGCGTTCGACTGGTGGTTCCTCCAGGTCGTTCGATGGGAGCCTCCACTTCCACTCCTGCTCTCCCTCGTGCCCTTCCCTCCTCCATGGAGGTATCTGTCAGGGACGAATCCGTGCAGGGTCCCAGTAGTTTGGTTCAGTTGGCAGCTGCTGCCGAGGCCCAGTCCGGTGTGGCTCAGCGGTTTGTTTCCCCTTCCCCTGTTACATCGCCTATAAAAGGTACTGGATCCGACTCCCTTCCTTCCAACATGCCGCCCACTTCGCGTTCGTTATTAGTACCCCGCACCCTCATCGCTCATCCCTATCGCGCTGAGAACCAGCGTCTTCTTGCTCGGGTTCGATCACTAGAGTCCCAGCTTGCCGATTCTCAGCGGGAGAATTCTTCTCTGACCACTGCCCTTCGGGATACCTCCCACGCCCTCGATGCTCGTCAACGGGAGGTCGAACAGCTTCGGTCCTCCAGCCATGAGGTCCTTCAGCATGAAGTCGAGTATCGCAGTGTGCTGGACCAGTTCCATGCCATGGATAGGGCTTTATCGGTGTTTCCTGGTCAGGTAAGTCGTGATTTAACTGGTATTCACCTCCTTTTTAAATTGACTTCCCCCTTGTAGACTGTTGTTCAGCGTCTCCAAGCATTGGAGGAGGAGCTCCGCGTGGTGAAAAGGGACCGCGATGTCGCGGTGGAGGAGCTCTCCACTGCTTCTCATAAGGCTTCTGAGTTGAAGACAGCCCTACTGCAGCAACAGGGTCTGGTAGACGAAACCAATGCTTTGGCGACCCGTCAGCGTCGTCGCTTGGAGGAGGTCCAGGAGGAGGTCCATCGTACTCAAGATCGTGCCGCCTTCGTGGAGCAGATGATCAAGGAGTATCCAGACGAGGGTTTCTACGAGGTGGTTCTACCTCCTCTTTCTCAGCTGGAGGAGGACCTTCGTCGCGTCGCCACCTATGCACACCGCCTTTATCGTTCCGATCCCGCCACTGTCCTCCATCATCACAGTCGTTATATCGGTGCCATCATTGAGGCGGTCGTCGCCTTTCTCCGACGTGGTCTGGCCTCCGACGACCCCGACGTCGTTGCCCACAACTTCCAACTTGCTCTGGATTACATGCAAACAGCCCAGGGTATTCACGGGGATCTCTATATGCGGTCTATCAGCAGCATTCAGTGGTTTTTTAACAACGCGGTGGATGAGGACGAGGGTCTCCATCGCCTGGTGCTAGAGCACTCCCGGTTTGACAACGATGGTCCTATTCTGACCGCGGCTCAGCATGCTGGTTTTGCAGCCCCTCCCGAGGGTTCACTGGAGCCACCCCTCCATCGTCGGATGTTGGCGCTATCGACCGCCTTCCCTCATCGTGATGGTTCTGGAAGGTGGGACGATATTGTCCCCGCCATTCCTAGTCTTGACCAGTCGATGGTCGTATGGGAGCAGTTAATGCTGGAGTACCTTCACCACATAACTGATACCCCCATGTCCCTGCCAGTGCCATCGGGCGAGCCTCCCGCGGCTGTAGGTGAACGTGTTTCTTCTCCCCCCGCTTCCTCTCATGTTCCTCTGTTCCTCCCTGAACAGGCCTCTCCGACCTCCCCTTCTCCCCCTCCTCCTTCTCCCAGTCTTCCTCCCCTCTTTGGTTCAGTGGCTGATCTCGCCATTGATCTTACTGGGGGTGACGACGAATTGTACGAGCCGGAGGAATCGCGTCGTGCTCGGGTCTCTGAGGCGGATGGGATGGATGCTGTCCCAAAGGAGGAACCGTTGTAGTACTTCGTTGTTATTTCTTGTAATAGATCCTTGTTGCTAAATCGTTTTTTTTTTTTTTTTTGTAATTGTTTTGACCTTCTTCGTTAATTAAAGGGAACCTTCTTTATACTGTGTGAAAAATCAATAAGAGTGAAATCGTCGTGCATTCAGGTCTCGTAAGCCCTCCAATGCAAGTTGTCGTAGATAGTCGTAAACATGGGCTTGTCGTCCCCGTCGTGTCTTCATTGTCCTCGTTCCCCCCTCTACTCCCTTCTACCTTCCCGGTCCTCCTCCTCATCTTCCCGTGCTTCCTGTTCCAACGAAGCCCATTGCAGACGCGATGGATGGCGTTTCCTCGGGTGGTGTTTGTGCCAGCTACGTAGGAGTTCGATCGAGCCCACCATACCTTCCCATCCTACCCAAGAGTTGAACTCGTCATTATACCCCTCCCATTTTACGAGGTATTCCACTTCCTCCGGTTGTCCCTTCTTGGGTTTGGAGTCAAGGATGTCCTCGACAAAATGCTCCGTCTCCCCTTTTATGAAGATTGGGGGAGGCGGGGAGGTCTGGCGTTTGAATTTGTCGTGGAAGTGAGGTTTCAGCCTGTCGACATGGAACACATTGTGAATCTTGTGGAGGTCCCCAGGGAGGTCCAGTCGGTAGGCATGACTTCCTACTTTCGACAAGATTGTATAGGGACCTGTCCACTTGTGGTCTAGCTTCTTCATAGGTCGTCTAGTCCTGACGTTCTCCATATTTAGCCAGACTTGATCACCCTCCTTCCAGTCCGGGGCCTCCTGGCGTTTTTGGTTCGCGTACTTCGCATAGGCCTTGTTAGCTACCCCGATTCGTTCCTGGAGGTACGCATGTAGCTCCTTGAGGTTGGACGCTGTAAGACCTGGGTCAAAATAGGTCTTAGGGTAGGTTTTGGTATGTGGGGGTTTATGTTGTAGCGTGCTAGGAGCAGGCTGGAGCTCGAAGGGAGCTACGAGAACCGCGACCGAGGACGGGAAGGACCTAGTAGTGGTTGGAACGACGAGATGGTGACCCTTGAGGGGTTCCTAGGAGGTCCAGGGAGGTCCCTAATGCGTAGGGAGGTTCGGGACGAGTGCGGGACCGTAAGATATTGCGTAGTAGGAGTTGTACTCGCTAGAACGTCAATATAGAGTCGAGTAGGTAGTTTATGCAACGGGGTCTCGAGGGTGTAAGCTCCCGAGAAGGGATATGCCAGGGAGGGTAGGTCCCTGGGGACTAGGTTGGAGGATGGTCGTCCTCGAGTGTGGGAGGTGGTAACGGAGAAGCAATACGTAGTTCGACGTGAGGGGTAGCTTCGACGTTACCTAGATCGAGGTCCCGAAGCTTACGAAGTAGCTAGGGAGCTCTGGGAGGTTTGGGGAAGAGTAGCTCACCAAGCGGGTAGGCGTTGGGGAGCTTTAGTAATGTTCGAGGGAGCTCGGGGACTCACTCGGAAGGCTTAGACTTGAAGTAAAAGCGTATATTCGATCGTACAGACGATCAGAGAGACAATAGACAGAAGTAGAGAGAAACAGAGGTAGAGAAACAGAGAGTAAAGAGAAATCCGTATGGTTAGCAGGTACAAAGGGACAGGGACTGGACCTATGCAAAAGGGTGTGTGTTCAAAATATACCAAGCTAGGGACGTTTATGTTACAGAGGATACTTATATAGGTGGGCTGAATAGTAACGGGACATTGTAATAAACGAGCATCTAATGGGGTTGGCGTGAAGTGCGGAACCCATGAGGCTAAATTGATAGGGGATTGTCCGGCGGCGTACGCGAATCGCGGAGCTGCCGCTTCAGATGGAGGTTAGCGTTGGTGGGGAGGTTAGTTAGGGTTCCGTGGTTCATGGAGGTTTGTGGGAGGTTATTTGGGAGGTGTAAGGGAGCTGATACGCTGTTCTGGGATGTCTAGGAGAGTGACTAGGGGAGCTTTTGGGGCAGGGCATGACAGCACCACTTCCTTGAAGCAGAGAGGCGGCGCCGCGTTAGCAATGGGGAGGAAGGGCCCCCAAGAGGCAAACTGTGTTTTGCATACGATGTCGGTTGCACCAACAGCAAGACTGTACACCGCAGCCCGCTTGCACCTCTTGCAAAATATATGGGCTATCTTCCTGCTGTTGGGACCATGCACGGGTATGCTCACGAGCGTGCTTGCCAGCTCAACTTCCTTCTCCTCTACCAGACTGGCGCCGGCTTGGAAGACGGTGAGACTTGCGAGCAGTACTTCTCGAAGTCAAATGCATTGGCTCCTGCCATTCGGCATGCGAGTGTCTTCCACCGCCGACAAATGATTACTGAATACGCTTATCATACCGACAACTTTGAAACATACGGCAATCTCAGCAAATTCCTTCGAAACCACTACAAGCAAGCCCTCGATATCCTAGGAACTGCCGAATCCCTCAAAACACGGATGCGTAATGCTGGTATTGACGACGCACGTATTATCTTCAAATGGTTGGAGGAGGAGGCAGCGTATCTTCAGAACCTATCGAAAGAACCGCTAGCGGAAACACTCCAAATGGAGTACTATGGGAAGCTTGTCACCCTTAAGGAGTGTCAAGCCGTTCTTAAAGAAGCAAGACACGCTTGGCTCTCATATAGACCAGGGGAACGGGATCAAACTGCAGCTCTGGAGCGGACTCAACGTCACGCCCAGGAAAATGAGCGGAAAATTTTGGCTGACGTACATGCATTGGAGTCAAAGCTGGACATACGGGTTCGATGGACAGAGGGATTCAAAGAGTGGGATGAAGCTGGGGCATTGGTAATAGGCGCTAAATATCGGCGAGCCCTTGATAAACTGGAGGGGCTGCTGGTATCTGTGAGGCCCCGGCACAGGAGGCCTGCTCTGGTCTTACCCAGACTGGGCCTAAGCGAACGCAGTAGCTGCCTAGGCCGTATGAGGAGGTATGGGATGGTGCCGATACTGGTGAGGGGAGCCTAACCAGGGGTAGTTGTGGAGCTTGGGTAGAACTAATAGAGGGTCCTGGAGGTGTAGAACGTAACGCGTAACCACTGCTTCGATGTGGAGGGGAGGTGTAGCCGATACGAGTGGGAAGCTGTGGGGAGCTTAGGGAGCAATGAAGCGGAGTTGGGAACCTAATGGGAGGTTCCAAAGGATGAAGGACGAATTGTAGAGCCTCGACGTAGATGGTGAGTCGAAGTAGAGGCGTAGACAATACGAGGATTGACAGAAAGAGGCCAGAGATGGGGAACAGAGAGGAGAAACAGAGTTGAGGTGAGACAGAGATAAAGGAAACAGATAATGAGGAAATATATGACTGTTGAGACGTGTCAGGCCCTGTTAGCAAGTACTAGTAGACTGTACTAAAGGGACCAAGCCAGGTAGGAAGAGTTTCCAGGTAAGATTTGACAATAACACGCTGGGGAGCTCCGAGGGGAGTCCCCAGCCTATATACTGTACATGAGGCTGTCAGGTACATATGTCATGTGGCTACTGGAGTGACAGGTAATATGTACAGTAAAGATCGTAAGGATGGTGCATAGAATATCGGAAACATGTATAAGTGATGAACCGGAGCTCTGGAAAGGAAAGGGAAAGGTCCGGAGAAGCAAGGCATGACAGTACCCCCCCCTCTAAAACCTGAGCCCGCGAAGGTAGAAAATGGTCACAAAGTTTAAATAAATCATGGAGATAAAGTTGAAGGTACCATAGGAAAGGTTTTGGTGTGAGGGGGACAGTGACAGGAGGATAGCTCAGAATGCAGGCATTGACCTAAACACCAGATAGGGCATTGGAAAGAGGTTCAGAAGCACTTCCTGACGCCCCCAGAACATCCCAAATGCAAGCAAAAGTGAAGGAGTGGTGGTACCTGCCCTTCTCATAGTACTGGCTGACAATGAGGAGGACACCACTCCTGAACAAAGGAGCTCCATGGGGCGATCAAGGGGGCATTGAGAAGGTAGAGAGCAGAGCTTCCAGACAGTCCAAGAATATCCCCAATGCGAGCAGAGCTGAAGGAGTTATTATACCTCCTCTCCTCATGGTACTGACTGACAGTGAGGGGGTGTCACTCTCGAACGAAAGAGTTCTATGGAGCAGCTAGGGAGGCATTAGAAAGCTGCGGAATAGGGCTTCCAAATGGTCCAAACACGTCCTGGACACGAGGAGAACTGAAGGAGTTATGGCACCTCCTCCCCTTGTAGTACTGGCTGACAGTGAGGGGATCATTCCTCTGGGACAGGGGATCTCCATAGAGCGATCAAGGCAGCGTTGGGAAGCTATAGAGTAGAGCTTCCCAACGCCCTCAGCATGTCCCAAATGTGAGGAGAATCGAAGAAGTTATGGTACCTCCTCTCCTTGTAGTACTGACTGACAGGGAGGGGAGCATTCCTCCAGAGCTGAGGATCTCCATAGAACAATCAAGGAAGCGTTGTGGAGCTATGAGTTGGGGCTTCCAGACGCTCCAAGCACGTCCGAAATGTGAGGAAAATGGAAGGAGTTATGGTACCTCCTCTCCTCATCGTACTGACTGACAGGGAGGAGAACATTCCTCTGGAACGCAGCAGCTCCATAGGGCGGTCAGGGGTGCGTTATGAAGCTATGGCTCAGGGTTCTCAAACGCTTCAAACACGTCCAGAATGCGAGGAGAATGGAAGAAGTTATGGGACCCCCTCTCCTCGTAGTACTGGCTGACAGTGAGGGGCACATTCCTCTGGAACGGAGGAGCTCCATAAGGCGGTCATAGGAGCATTTGGAAACTGTGGAATAGGGCTTCAAAATGGTCCAAACGCGTCCGAAATGCGAACAGAACTGAAGGAGTTATAGTACCTCCTCTCTTCAATGTACCTGCAATCACTGGATAGACTACATCTCCGGAATGAGACCACGCATTGGCACAGTTACTGGGGCGTTTGGAAGGTATGACAAGGAGCTTTTTAGCGGTCCAAACACGTCCGAAACACGAATAGAAACGAAGGAGTTATAATACCTCCTCTCCTCGATGTACCTGCAATCACTGAATGGACTACATCTCCGGAACGAGGACACACATTGGCACAGGTGCTGGGGCGTTTGGAAGGTAAGATGGGAAGCTTTCCAGCGGTCCAAGCACGTCCCAAATGCGAACAGAAGCGAAAAAGTTATGATACATATAATGGGAAGAGGCAATCAAAATCATCATTAAGTTAAATCGTACCTTAGGGAAGAAAGGAGCTTCTTCTGCTCCTAATCCTCCAGCTCCGGGGCATCATCAGAGATGCTCTGGTGAGAAGGTGCTATCCAGGGGGGTTTCTGACGAGGAGGAGGGTCCAAAAGTGCGATCCTGGACACCTGGGAATGTGCAAAGACATAGCCCTGATGGAAAGAAGCTATCCAGGGAGGTTTTCGACGAGGAGGAGGGTCTGAAAGCCTGATTCTGGACACCTGGAGACATACAGGGATGTTCTTATTAACTGTCTGCAGGGCAGGAATGCACCACTGTACAGTCCCAGGTTCCTGTGACATTGTGGATAGATCCTGGGCCTGGGTGGGTCTTTTAGGCATAGCTCTTGGTCCAGCTGGACGCTTCAGAGGTGCTCCAGGGGATATCAAAACTGGTTGAAAGCTCCTCCCATGAAATGAGAGTCTAGCAAGCTGACCAGTATGCTCTGGGGACACTGAGGGAGGTGTTCCAGATGTCCATAGCAGTGGGCCAATACTTCGAGGCCCTTCCTGATGAATGGCAAATCGGTCCCAGTGAAGCTTCGTGAAGAATGGGGAGGTGGAAGGGATGAAATTGGGTTTGGGGAGGTATGTGGGAATCATGGAGGCGAGGCAAGTGGTGTACATGGACCTACTCAACAACCGGACTGGAGAGAACTCCCTTTGAGCGTGTTATTATGTGAGGCCCCGGCACAGGAGGCCTGCTCTGGTCTTACCCAGACTGGGCCTAAGCGAACGCAGTAGCTGCCTAGGCCGTATGAGGAGGTATGGGATGGTGCCGATACTGGTGAGGGGAGCCTAACCAGGGGTAGTTGTGGAGCTTGGGTAGAACTAATAGAGGGTCCTGGAGGTGTAGAACGTAACGCGTAACCACCGCTTCGATGTGGAGGGGAGGTGTAGCCGATACGAGTGGGAAGCTGTGGGGAGCTTAGGGAGCAATGAAGCGGAGTTGGGAACCTAATGGGAGGTTCCAAAGGATGAAGGACGAATTGTAGAGCCTCGACGTAGATGGTGAGTCGAAGTAGAGGCGTAGACAATACGAGGATTGACAGAAAGAGGCCAGAGATGGGGAACAGAGAGGAGAAACAGAGTTGAGGTGAGACAGAGATAAAGGAAACAGATAATGAGGAAATATATGACTGTTGAGACGTGTCAGGCCCTGTTAGCAAGTACTAGTAGACTGTACTAAAGGGACCAAGCCAGGTAGGAAGAGTTTCCAGGTAAGATTTGACAATAACACGCTGGGGAGCTCCGAGGGGAGTCCCCAGCCTATATACTGTACATGAGGCTGTCAGGTACATATGTCATGTGGCTACTGGAGTGACAGGTAATATGTACAGTAAAGATCGTAAGGATGGTGCATAGAATATCGGAAACATGTATAAGTGATGAACCGGAGCTCTGGAAAGGAAAGGGAAAGGTCCGGAGAAGCAAGGCATGACAGTATCAAGGATATTTGAGCTATCTAGGTTGAACATCTCTGGTACAGGTATGTCCTCAAATCATCTCCCTCTATCCGACCCAACCATCTGATGTATCCTACAGGTTATAAGATGCGAAAGCACTTGGCAAGTGCACTCAAAAAAAGGTCAAAGAGCATCCAAAATGCCATTGCTGAGTACAACGCCATTGCTACCAAAATGAAACCCCCACGTCGTCAGGTTGATTGGGAAGAGGTTGTCGAATACACCTTCTTATCTGAGTTTGATATCCTCCGTGATACTCGTGAAGACATACGAAAACGCCCTTGGGCAGTCCCTGCTAATCGCGTTATTATGACCCAATTCTTCAAAGTCATTGGAGCCGAGGACGAGCTTGCCCGTGTACATCAAGAAATTCAGCGACTAATTACCAGTATACAGCATGAGAATAATGAGCTCATATCAAGGGAGGAGGATCTTAGGTTGACCAACCCAACCCTAGCGCTGCAAATCCGGAAACATCGTCAGGAGCGAGGACGATTCCATGCAATACATCAAAAACGACTGCTTTCTATCACGAAGCTCCCAGGCTTTGACTGGTCTACCAATAGCAAGTACTTCTTCCCGGGGACACCAGTAGAACGAATATCTGATAACAAAGGGTATCCAATCGAAGTTTCGAAAGCGGACGGAGGTGTTGAGGAAGACGATGGCAGTGATGACGATGATGATGACGACGATGAGGAGGACCTTATTTCTAGAGTCGATGCCTTCCTATCAGTTGCTGACGATGTCTTAGAGGGATAGATTTGTTTGTATATAGTTCTTATAATATGAAAATATGTGTCGATGTACAGGAAGTCGGGACAGTGAGCGGGAGATCAATATAGTGACCGGCCATATGCTGACATAAGAATGGGGAAACATGGCGGGGATGCGCCGGGAGTAGCGCCCGATGTGCTCAGTAATTCATGTCGATAATGGTCAATAAAAGTTACTGAGGGTTTATTAGATTTATTCAAGGATGAGAAACTGCTGTTATTGCTACGTATATATACCAAAGGTGATCCGATCAATCCGTCGTATATATACTGTCAGGGGGGATTATCAGGTGAAACTTAGGTACTCAACCGACGCGTTGAGTCAAAAAGGAAAAACTTTTACCGCTTCTGGACGTTCGACAAGATACTCGGGCCGGTAACTGAGCAGGTAACATTCTTTGTCAGTCTTTGTTGCGTGTTCAGTTTCTGCCTGTCCGCATGTTAGTTCCTGAAAACATGGCGGAGACGGTGAGACTTCTTTTCAGCTCGCGAGGTAATAGTAAGTACAGATCTCTTCACAGTCTCTTACAGTGTGTTGTAGTGTGACAATTGATATGCCTCTCACCGTCGCGTATTCGATTCATATTTCCTTCCACCTCCCTTGTACGCCCTATAAATATTCATGTTATGTGAATACAACCTACGATACATCATCTCTGTTAGGACCAACTTGCATAGACCGCCGTATAATGTGTAAAAAAAGTAAAACAAGCACTGGGCAAATTATCAGTGGATTCACTCAAGAGCACTCACTTCCATTTTTGTCCACCAAGGTATGTAGGCAGGATACCGCACAGCGTCGACACAAACTTCACACTCGATCGAACCAAACCTCTGCTCTCTCTTGTGCATTTTCTCCTACAGGTCCTTCCACCCCTTCTCCCGCTCCCCAAAAACCTCCCGTAACACCAAAGCCAGACACCCCATCCGAGCTGACAACATCGGAATTGGGAGCGAACTCGATAGTAATTGGAGCGTTGTCTGTGGTATCGTACGCCCAATATCGTTGTTCCTGAGATTTCCACATTCGCGCAGAGTCTGAGGAAATGATAGGCTGGAGACGTCAGAATATGGATATGGACATTAGCCATGTCGGGGAGCGAGAAAAACGTGGTCGTTTGATTTACTTACCAAGCTTTGGAACCCTGACACGTTGAATAAATTCCCATCGAAATGTTGCAAACGAACGTGGGACAACCATGCACTGTCCATGTACGCAAAAAACGTCGGGACAGATTCAGACGTGTTGAAAGTTCCAGGAAGCTTGAAAGAAAGTTCATTGATGAGTGTTTTGCAATTTGGGGTCGATTGGGAGATCGGTAGGTTCAAGGACGGTATAGCGCATAGTTCTAGCGTACCATAAGCTGGATGTACATATGTCCCAGCTAACGATGCGAATGGTACAGAAGGCATAGTGGGGTTGCGCGGTCGAGGTCTGAGTTTTTGGATTCGTTCTGCGTATGCATCTGCGACTACTTGTTTTGCCCTGAATTTAGAAATTGATCAGCAAAGGGGATAGTTGTTGGAAAATGGAGATAATCAAGTCGCTTACCTGGAGTTCCAGTCTACTGGCTCCAAACCAAATGCCTCGTCTACGATGCGCCATTTGATGATTTCCATGAACACAGCGCCGTAGGCATCGTCGTTGGTCAGAACAGCGACCCCGATGTTGCTGAATGGAAATCGAGTTATTTGAGTATGAAAACCTAAGTGGATACAAATATCAGCGACGATATACAGACAGAGAGGTGGTTGCAGGGAGACCTGGTGTTGCGCCTCCGTGCTATATGTTAGACTCCCTCCGCCCGGCGTACGCACAGCCCACATTCTGCTTCCGCTCGATTACATACACACTACTATACAGTTTATCAGCCACCTGCGAACGGCGGACAAAGGCTCCCTCAGTTGTTTCTACATCCAACTGAGGTGAGCCCCATCCTACCTACTTACATACAGTATACTCACAACACATATAGTATTTACAACCTGACAGGTACCTAATACAGTTGTTTCTACATCCAACTGAGTATTTACAACCTGACAGATTATGAGACTCGCTATCTAGAAGAGCAACAAAAAAAAAAATAAAAATAAACTTACATCCATACAGAGCCCCTGAACCACGATGTCATCGTCATCGAACATGCCGAATGTCCAACGATTCCCCACGGGTTTAGCACTCGAGGGGGAGGATAACTGGTGGCCGTATAAGAGAGAAGTTAGTCTTGCAGTTGAATCAAAAGGGCTACAAGGGTACCTACATGGGACCATACCCAAGCCCAGCGACACGAAGCCCGCAGTAACCGTAACCTCCCCAGAGGGAACAACTACCACAACTACACCAACCACCCCGCCGTACAGCCAAACCCCCTCGCCCGAGGAATGGTACGCCCGCGATCGATACGTAGCAAGCACCATAGTCTCGAATATCACAGACCCAACCGGGCTAGGCGTAGACTACACCGAAACCGCATCCGTAATCTGGGAGGAGCTGGTCAAACAATTTGAACAAAAATCGGAAGAACTCCTACTATTCCACGACAGCAACCTCCGAGCTCACCGATATGCATACCCTGAAGAGACAATGGAGGAGCACAAAAGGACCATGCGAAACCTACTCAGGAAGGCCACAAACGCTGGCGCAGTGACAACAGATGGACAATTCCGCGTAATCGTCCTCGCATCACTACCTAAGGACTGGGATGCCGACATTAGGCACCTCCCTGGAAAAACAAGCAGTGAGGCCTTTATCCATCTCCAAGGTATCTGGCTACAGAAAGAGAAGAGGCGAACGGAAGAGGAGCGAGAGGAGAAGAAGGTGAAAGCATTACTGGCGACGCACGTAGCAAGCGCACAGGCCCCAGACAAGAGCAGGCCGACCTGCGCAAACCCCAACTGCAGGAAGGTCGGCCACACCACCCAAAAGTGCTGGGCAAAGGGAGGGGGTGCAGAGGGTAAAGGACCTAACGGCTGGAGGTTCAATAAGAACAACGAACCGAATAGGTACCAGAACCCCGGAAACGCGGTAGCAGCCACAGCTAGCACAACAAGCACAACGGCGACGCCTCTGGAGACATATGTCCTGTCAGCTGACACTACCAGAGACAGCGCAAGTACGTTGTCATCCAGTACTCCCCGCCAAAGATCGACCCCAACTGACAGACCCCTCGGTAGCAATGATCATACCTTTTTGAGAGGATGGGAGCATCAGGGGACAAAGAAAGGGAACGGGAGTGAGGACGTACATAAACACTACGTAGTACCAGGCCCACAAGTATGTGCAACACGCCGAAGCAATACACTCCTCTATGCACCTGTAAAGACCTCATACACCCGAACATTCATTGATTCCGGAGCGACCGAACACTGCTGGGTGAACAGGTCCGACTTTGTGGAATACAGCCAAGTACAAGGGCAAAGCGGGAACAGCGCGCTAGCCGGTGACGCCGGAAGATTCAAGATATACGGCGTAGGAACCGTCGAATTCCTGACCAGAGTTGGAGAGGTAGCACGGCGAATCCGACTCCTGAATGTAAAGCACACACCTGAGTTTGGACATAACCTAATTTCCTTGTCATCCCTTGACCAACGAGCCTTCAAAGGGGAGTGGGGCAATGGAGTACTGAGTGTCAAGAATCCTGAGGGACTGGTAGTGATGATGGGGAGAGGGGAGACCAAAATGTACGAAGTGGAGATCCTAGGCAAGACGCTAGCTAATTCAGCAAGGTCCCACGAGAAACCGGCCGACATACACACCTGGCACCGACGCCTGGGACACGTAGCCATACCAAGGATCCTGCGAATGGAGAGTCAGGGCTTAGTGGACGGTCTACAAATCAAGTCGAAAAAGTCAGCCGGAATGTGCGTTGACTGCCTGTACGGGAAGGCAACGCGTAGACCATTCGACGAAAAGCTCACCCACGAAACGGAGGTTCTCGAGAGAGTCCACATCGACCTCTGGGGACCAGCCACCACCCAGAGCATCGGGGGTGCAAGGTACATGATGCTTTTCTCCGACGGGGCGTCATCGGTGCGAGTCCCTGCATTTCTCAAGGACAAACGGAAGGAGACGTCAGTGAAGGAATTTCATAAGTACCGAACGATGGCCGAGAACCAAACCGGGAAGAGGATTAGGATAATACGGGTCGACGGTGGAGGCGAATTCGATAATGACCTGATGGAAGCCTATTGTGCCGACCGGGGGATCATCATCGAGAAGATAACCCCATACTCATCCTCCGCTAATGGGATGGCTGAAAGAGGGAACAGGACCGTTATCGAGGGAGTACGTACCTTCCTCGAAGAATCAGGCCTCCCCCGATCGTTCTGGGCAGAGGCTGCCGCCACCTTCACGTATGTGGATAATTTCGTGCCAACAGCACGGTTTCCCGACCGCGTTCCTATCGAGTACTGGTCGAATAAACGCCAGGATGTATCGCATTTACGACCGTTTGGTTGCCAAGCATGGGCCACACTCCCTGAAGTCAGAACCGAGGGGAAACTGGCGCGCCAAGCCGTCGAGTGCCAGCTAATAGGGTATATGGGACGCAGAGGATACCGGCTGTGGCACCAACCCAGCCGCACCTTCATGGAATCAAGGAATGTTAGATTCGAAGAAGGCGAAGCACATCGCTCCAGGGAATTCTCACCTGAGACCGACGATAACGAACTGGGAGGAAGCCAACCTGCAGGCGACCCAGAACCAGCTGGACCCACCAATGGACCCACTGATCAACAGCTTGCGGATCAAGAAGGCAGCGAACCACGGTTACCCGGGCCCACTTCCGACTCTTCTCCACCACTACCTTCTCATACTCCCGATTCCCCGCCAACACCACTGCGACGGAGTAACCGCATACGCACCCCTTCACGCGTCGCCATCGAAAACCAAGCTCTAGAGGAGCGGGAACAGGATGCACAGGCCAACAGAGAGGAGTGGGCAACAGACTCGCCGCCAGCCGGCCAAACACTCGCCCTGATTGCTGCAAACCCCTGGGCTTTCGCGTCGGCTACTAGCAACACCTGGGTCCCATCCACCTTCAAACAGGCGATGAAAGCTCCGGAAATCTGGCTTCCACCCATGAAGGCAGAGTACGACACCCTCGTTGCAAAAGGCTGCTGGGAACTGGTGCATCTACCACCGGATGCAAACCTCACGGGTGGAAGGTGGACGTATGCCATAAAATGGGGACCGGGCGGGGAGGTGCTTAAACGCAAAGCGCGATGGGTAGCGCAGGGCTACACACAAATCCAGGGCCAGGACTACGACAAGACATACGGAGCTGTTGCCCGTATGGAGTCGGTGCGCATCGTACTGGCTATTATCGCTACCCTCCGGCTCTCCCTCTTCCAAGTAGATTTCACGGCCGCTTTCCTCAATTCCCCCATCTCACACGACGTGTATATGCGGCAACCAGACGGGTTCATCCGCCCAGGCGACGAAGACAAAGTCTGCAGGCTTAGGAAGTCAATCTATGGCACCATGCAAGGCAGCCATGATTGGCAGGAGACCCTCGCTGCCGGATATCGTGAGGACGGATATACCACGTCCAGAGCCGACCCCTGCATTCGCTACCGTCGAGACGGCGCCGAATACACCCTGACTAGCACGTATGGGGACGACGTGTGCGGAGGAGCTTCCACGGAGGCTGGGAGGTTGCGAGCAGTGAACGACCTAGCAAAGCGGTGGGAGTCTAGCGAAGTTACATCCCATGTCCTACTAGGTATGAACGTACAGCAAGACCCAACTACAAAGTCTATCACCATTTCCCAGAAAGCCTATATCCTCCGAATGCTCGAGCATTTCCAGCTCCTGCAGGTCCGGCGCCGCCATACGCCCCTCCCTCCTAACGTCAAACTCTGTGAAGCGCCCACCCCGCTCCCCGACGACGATTTACAGTTCATGACAGGCAAACCATACCGCGAATTCGTGGGCTCCATACTCTGGTGCCAGACGTGCACTCGCGCCGACATCTCCTTCGCAGCTGGACTCCTTGCAAGATATCAGCTCCATCCTGGCAGGTCCCACTGGGAGTGTGTCGAATGGCTCGCGGGTTACCTCCTGTGGTCCTGCGACTACGCTATCACCTACGAGGCACCCGGAGCCGGACAAGAACATACTCCAGGCTTGGGTCTGAGACCGAAGGGCTACTCTGACTCGGACCATGCGGGGTGCATGGATACCCGCAGGTCTACCTCTGGCTACGTCTTTTTCATGGCCGGCTCTCCCGTCTCCTGGAGTTCCAAACGCCAACCTTCAGCTGCGCTATCATCTACGGAGGCGGAATATATCGCGCTGTCTCGGACTTGCCAGCAGGCAGTCTGGCTACAATCCTTCCTTGCAGAGGTTGACCTAACCCAGGAGGGACCTGTCACTCTACTGGGGGATAACTTCGGATCTATTAGTCTGACGGAAAACTCCAAGCGACATGCTCTGGTCAAACATATCGACCTCCGGGAACACTACATAAGGGAGAAAGTCGCGAGCGGGACTGTGAAAGTCTCTGAAATTAGGACGGGCATGAACGTCGCGGACGTATTCACTAAAGCCCTGAACGGGACAACCCATGCAAAGATGGTTGGGTTATTAGGACTGTATCGTGCGGAGCAGGGGGGGTGTTAGACTCCCTCCGCCCGGCGTACGAATGCAAAAACATTCAGTTGAGACCGCCAATGAAGAATGGCAGACGTTGATCGTCTTAGATGAACTGACCTCTATAAAATCTAGAACGGATGAGTCGTCCGAAAATCGAATACATCGATAATTGGAAACCTACTGTGCCCACGATACGAAGAACGCATTTGTCCGCCGCCATACACAATAGGCGCATATTCAGGGAAAGGACTTTTGTATTTAGTAAGACCTTTTTGTGAACACTAGAAACGGGGAATCCCCTCACGGTGTGCCCATCATGAGTGTAACTCCAGTAGCGACCTTTTCAATGACCGAGGAAGGAATGACCTGCTCGTTTGTTACAGGATTTTTGCCTTGCAGTAGGAGGACTTGAAGCCACGTTGCCTGAAGTCAACATTACATAGTGCCGAGCTAGCTTTCCAGAGTAAACCCAGGCATACCACATCTTTTGCACTGGATATTATGCCCCCTGCACCTGAAATAACTGTAAACAAAGATTTAGTGGTGAGGATGTCAGGATATAAACATTAGGACTCACTATTTCCATCATCTCCTCCATAAAAATTCCAGAACGGCATCGCTCTAGGAGTACCTGTTCCAAGGACGTCCTCCGACTTATTTACTCCATCCCGTCCAAACCCATTAGCAAGATTTCCACTTTCTTCCGCTACAGAGCCCGAGTATGTGGTAGCGTTGAGTCCTAGCGGGGTGAATATATGTTTCCTGACATATTGTGTAAAGGGAACGTGCAGAAGAACATCCGGGATGTAAGAGAGTACAGTGTACATGATGTTGTTGTACTGCCATACATCTCTGAATTCAGCAGAAGGTCTGAGGTATTTGAGTTTTGATATCTATTTTCAAATGGCTATGGATATTGGAAGTAAGGGAACTAGAAAAGTAAGACAAACCAGAGATTGGGCGGATTGAGTTTCATGATAGGCAATGTCGTGACGAGGAAGGCCAGTGCGATGACTCATGAGGTCGATGATAGTGCTTTCTGTAGAAGCCACTGGATCTGACAATTCCCATTCGGGTATGACAGAAGCGATCTTGGTATTCCAAGAGATTCGAGGTGAAAGACTCTCATTGGAGATTAAAAGACCTGTGGCTATGACGTCGAATAACTTGGAGAATATGAATTGTGAGTGTATATCATTCTGAAAACGCGTGTACATACCTTTGAATTCGAACCAATAGAGAACAGTGTATTTTCTGTGACCTTGCTACCATCGACTTTTGCTATTCCGTATCCTTTTGTCTCCACGTTCCAGCTCCCCTCTTCGTTCTTTTGAACGACAGCAATACCGACGCCTCCAGCAGAGTTCCAATCTGCAAGAGTTTTCTCGATGAATTCATCGATCGTAGGAGTCAGAATATCCTTCGCAGTAGTTATCGTAGTCCGGTCTAGTGCCAGCAACGGTTGTTGCTTTTGTTCTGCAAGAGCTGTAGCTGCAGTCACGGTGAGAGTGGTAATGACTAACAGAGAAAACAAATGCATCGCTGGGGAAAAAGTTGACCTCATGAGCATATTTATATGAACTATCCGTCAAATCAAAGCTTGTTCCCGGCACCGAGACCGAGGAATCTGCGCCGTAGTAGATACTAGATTCCTGATGAAGTGAGAGTCCAACTTTCAATTTCAATAATTTCGATGTCACATGGTGGTGAAATATTAGGCGCTTATTCTCAAATCCTCGATCTTTAATCGATGCTCTTTCACGTACAGTGTTTTTTTTTCCAACAAGACCTTCAATTGCAGGTCCGGCACCCCAAGGCTCTCCTGCGACTCCGAATCCTATCACCCTCTTCCTGATTGATAAGCGTTTCTTGTTGTTTAAGCCTCAAATTCCCAGTACCGTCCTGAACTTGAATCGAGTCCATACATAGGTTGCGAAGAAACAGAAGAAGACACAGGCATTCATAGACCTTAACTCTCAAAAAATCAAGATAGAGAGCAGGGAAAGAATTCCGAGTCAATCTACCAAATTTTTAAATGCCGATTATGGACAAATTTCAATCGAAATGCTGCAGACGAAATGTGGCGCCCATATCTTGTTCATGTATGCAAAGAGCGTCGACGTTAACAGTTCCAAGGAATTGAAGCGGAATTTTCGCCTCGTAAGAAGCTCGATAAGCTTGTTTATTGGCTCGGGACCCAGCGCTAAGCGCTCATTGGTGGCACTATACAGATTCCAGAACGGGAATGATAGACCTCAACAAAATCTTGAGCATCTTAAAGTAACAGCTCAGGTATGTTGTTGCTCGCCATTTCAATCTTCGCCTCCATATGGATTCCAGAACGGCACTCTTACTGAACCTACTCTATCCTCTTTATCCACATTGTCCAGAGCGAATCCACTCGCGAGGTTCCCACTTTCTTCCGCAACCAAACAAGAGTACATGATGCATCGTGGAGCGCATTCCAAGTATCGCGTAAAGGGAAAATTTACAAGGACATCTGCTAGTAGCACGAAAGTACGGTGTACATGGTGTTATTGGACTGGTAAATCTCTCTGAATTCGGAAGAGGGTCTGAAGTTTGATATTTGTTCCCCTTATTTGTGACTCGTGATAGACCCAAGCGTGACAGGGAAGGCCATGACGACGCGACAGGATTTTACAGCTCCCATCCAGGTATAAATATGGTATATTGGTGCTCCAGTGCTCCAGGAGATTTGAAGTCAAGAGATTCGTGGTTATGACCTCAAACAACTGGACAAAATTCCAAACGTATGATAGCAAGACTATTGAAACTGTTTCATACCCTGGAATTTGGACTAATAGAGAACAACGTATTCTCTGTAACCTTCTACAACAAATTTGCTCCCGTCAACTTTCGTTAACCCGTATCCTCTCGTCGTCACATTTCAGCTTCCATCCTCTATTCTTTTGTACTACAACAACTGCGATACCCTAGGTGAGCTAAAACCTGCGCGATGAAACTCGTCTACCTGAGGAGCCAATAACATCTGCAGCAGTTAGCAAACGCGAGAGCTGTAATTGCTGCAAGACCGGCAAACACCAGAAACAGCAGCAGCGTCATGTTATGATGATACCGGGAAGGGATGACAAAAGGATGCCAGCACATCTAGGGCATCTCATCGAGCTCCAAACATTACCTCAAGCCCGGTCCCGAGGATTCATTCCCCAGCGTTTGCCGCAGTACGTGGGTAGTAAGGTGAGTTGACGAATGAAACGAATCCCGAGAGTACGATGGTGGAACGGAAAAAAAAGAATCTAAAGTCCGAGAGGCGATAAAATGTGTGTTGATCGGACAACTTGACAAGAATTTCAAGGTAAGTTTATTCCGAATCCAATGGCTTGTCGGAAACATGGAGGCTTATTGATCGGTCTAGGAGAGATGCTCATACTATAGTCTCGCAAGGCGCTCATTACTCCATACTACCAACACCCGGATGACATCCGACGAAAACAATTAAGGCCAACATCTCAGAAAGGCGCGAAGTGAATCTTCCTTAGATGTAGTATGTATGTGTGGTATAAAATTGGTTCTTTCTCGTGTGTGTATATGGGTTGAACGAGAACGAGTCGAGGATATATGGGTGCTCTACGTATCCTCTGGGTGGTTAATGATAGGTATCGATACATCATCCGCGGTGGAGTCCATAAATACTTGGTACAAATATAAAACTCCGAATAATAAGAAGAGAACTGCGCCTCCAAGTGTAACTGTACGAATAGAATCGGTCAATCGACAAATGAAAGAATGGAACGCAAAAGACCTACTATGCTTCGCAGATATCTTGGTAGACACATATTTACCTCCAATAACTGCAGCAGCCGTACAACACCCGTGGCCAATTATAGTTCCGAGTGCGACGAGGTACGCGTTCTAAACATAGATAGTCAGGAGAAAACTCGGACAGAGATAGAAACGAAATGAGAACAAGGAGATGAGAACGACGTACATGCGCAGCTCCCAATGCAATCGTGGCGATCTGACTGCGGTCTCCCCATTCGCCTAAGAAAGTCAATGCGAAAGCCTTGACAAACACTGGCCCAAGGAACAAACTACAGAAATTCCGTGCACCTTCGACCAGAGAGGTCTTTTTCGGTTTCGGTTTGAGGGTGGAATCCTTGGAGGCAAAGACCGGACTACGTCCTCCTTCTATTATTCCCAGCGGCACCAGATAGCCGTTGTCGAGGGAAGCTGGATCTACAGCGGGTATCCCTTCATGTCTCGCCTCGTCTTCCTCGATTTCCTCCTCAGCCTCTTTCATCTCCTCTTGCGTCTTCTCATTCCCAGCCTTCATTTGCCTCCCCTCAATAAACATTTTTGTCCCAAACACTAGAAACAGGATGCCTGCTGCGAGCTGCGTCCAGCGCCTTGGTAGAAGTGTAGGAAGTATATGACCCATGGCTGAAGAGAGTATGGACATAGCGACAAGAGAGCCAAAAGCTCCTGCAAAAACGATTAGACGAGGATTTGACATAGCGAGGATAGCCGCAATGAGAAATGTTTTATCGCCGACTTCTGAGACGATGATCATGGCAAAGGATTGAAGGAGGGCTGAGAGATTTCCTTCAGGCTCGGTTGGATTGAGGACATTGTCAGAAATTGGAGTGGTCATATGTAGAAGCTAGAGGAGAAGGAGTGTAAGAGAGTAAGCATGGCTAGAGAGGCGTTGGTCATACGAAGGAATAGATGAAAAAAAGCCCTTGAGAGGCTGAGAATTAGTTGATGGTCGTTGGAAGGAAAACGAACATACATAAGCGCCCATTAAGTCCGCCTATAGGCGCTTGCTCTTGTTTATTTTTAACCTTTTTTCTTCATTAACCGCAAGTAAGTTTGTAGAACTGAGTATTAAGGCGTAGGGAGTCATGATGACCAGTTAGGTGCATCTCTAGCTCATCGCCCGACTCCAGTCTCCAGTTCTGGGTCGTAAGATAGGTCTATAGGCAACCATCATCATCAATGTGTCTCCCCCTCAGCCCGGAATCATTCCATGTACGACTGAGCTCCCTTTCTATCATGGCCGTAACCTAAAAATCACAACTTCTCTGACACACATTCTACCGATAGTGAAACGAATATCCGGTCGTGCCAACGTCAACGTATCTCATTCTCCCAGAACTTTCAAGAGTCGGTATCAGATCCGACTGTGAACGGGACTCTGAAAAAAGAAAAAACGTGAAGCTGGTCGGAGACGTGCATCGACCGAGGTGCTATGGTACGACAACATTCACTGCACATTATGCAACAGTCAATCTATGTCTTCTGTCCGAATGCACACGACAAATTTTCGCAGTTTGTCCTCTCCACAAGTTAAAGAAGGCCGGCGCGTGATAGGATATCAGGACAAGAGTAACTTGAATGTATAGTACTCTAGGTGAGTGTGGATGCACTGGCGATGAATAACTCTCAGAACAGAGTTACAGACTGCATGGAGCTCATACAATATTCAAATATTCACTCTTCATACGGCGATTATGAACAGCCACCGAAAATCCACCTTCTGACTTCGTCATCTCGGCCTTCGGGCAAGATGTCTTCAGGGCGACTCCGAATTTCTCCTTCTCAAGCAGGCCCGACATCCGCTTTGCATCGATTGAGATATTGGAAAACTGATCATTATGTTTAGTCCAGTACTGACTCACAACCCCAATGCGATCACAAGCGTTATCCGGGGTAAAGAAATTAACAAAATACCGAGACGCTTCGTTTTTATCAGTTCCTATAAAATACTGAAGCCAATCAATCTTCACTCTTCATTCTTCCACGCTCACCCATCGACGTTCAGTTAAATATTGCTTTTCCATATGTCTGCCCTCAAGAAACCAAACTTATCCAACTTTGTTACCGTTCCCGAGCTTCTTCGCTTCCAACTCGAACACAACCCAAGCCAGCCTGCTTTTGTGTTCGCTCGTGAAGGAAAAGGCAGGACTCCGACGACTGGTGAAGCCAAGGATTCTAGCGCTGAAATAACTAGTCCAGGGAATGACTCCCTTAACACCGAAATAACCGAAGTTACCTTCTCTGAATATGTACGCGCCGCCCATCGTGCAGCGCATCTTATTCGCCCCAATCGTTCCGGACCAGACAGAGCTGTAGTTGGTTTAGTCGCTCTCCTGGATAACCACGTGTATCAGACGGTAGTGGCGGGAATCATGCAAGCTGGGTTGGTGGTGAGTCCAATCAATGCTCATTGACTTATCTTTTGACATTGACAATTTATTTGATCGACGGTCTTGTGATAGCCTTTGCTGATATCCCCACGTCTTCCGCCAGCGGCAGTACTTAACCTCCTCAAACTATCTGGGGCCCATCGACTCTTGGTCACTGGAACGACGCTGCGCGAGCTGTTACAAGGCACGAAGGAGCTAGTTTCCTCAAATTCGGAGCTTCCATACGAAGTGATTTTTGAAGAGGCTCCATCGCTGGGACAGCTTTACGCCGAACAAGGAACGGTGAAAGCAGAGGCCAATTTGGAATATCCTTGGGTAGAATCTTCGTATCCTAAACCCGAAGAAACGGCAGTTTATCTCCACTCCTCGGGAAGCACTGGGCTCCCCAAAGCCATCCCGTTGTCACATGGGATGATGGTTCATTCGTTCTGTAAGTCATTCACAATTCATAGACCCCCCGTAACTCACTTAACTGCCACCCTCCACGTCTGCTCATATAGCCTCCGTTCTTACTGCCTACTCGACTTACAAGAATTATCAAGTCCCCCTCCGTGTTGGCGGAATGGCCTTACCCCCCTTTCACATCATGGCCTTTTTTACACATTTTGTCCTGCCGCTCTACGCCTCAATGTGTATAGCTCTTTTCCCCCCTAAAGTAATCAAGCCCGATGCACTACCAATGCTAGCCACCCCCGAAGACACGATCAAACACTGTCAACTCACTCACTCGAATTCAGTGGTGCTGGTACCAATGTTTTTACAAATTTATTCCAAGGAGGAAAAATATATTGATATCTTGAAAGGGTTGGAAAACGTGGTATTCGCAGGTGGCCCATTGGCTCCTGTGACAGGGGATTATCTCGTTGCGTGTGGAGTGCGGCTGAAGCAAGTGTATGGACTGACTGAGGTGGGGCTTCCTATCAAGATGAACTTAGAATCAGGTTTTGAAGATTGGGCTTGGCACCATTTCGAAGAACAAGCAGCCGGAGATGACCAACCATACATCAGATGGGCTCCGCTGGGGGATGGGACGTCTGAATTGCAGATTTTAGTAAGTATCGAGTCCTAAATCCTTTTAATCTTCGTTCTTAATGAAAAACGCCTTATTTGATCGAATTCATCTTTGAAAAATGTAGACAACCAAGAAATGGAGACCAGCTGTTGAAAACCTCGAAGATGTACCCGGTTATGCAACTTCGGATATATTCACCCCTCACCCGACGAAGCCCGGATTTTGGGCGATGTAAATACCTCAATCTTCAAGCTTTCTGATGTCTTCTGAGACTGTGATTTAACAGTGTCGGACGAACAGACGACGTGATCATACATTCATCTGGGGAAAAGACCACGGCACTTCCAATGTAAGTAATCCTTCTGTCAAAATGTAGATCTTATATCCCGATCCATCATCACAGTGAACACGTCGTCATACAAAGTCCTTTGTGAGTTTTTACCTTTCTACAGTGGGAATTTTTGCCGCGATGTTGACTACGCAAATACTACACCCCTTAGGATTCAAGGCGCGGTAGTATTCGGAAGACAGCGCGATCAAGCTGGGATACTAATTGAGCCTACGCCCGATAATCAGACAGATGTTGCCAACGAAGCAGCTATTTCTCAATTCCGGAATAAGATCTGGTATGCATTAATCCCATCATACTCGTCCATTTTGCTATGAATCCTCACTGATGAACGTATATAGGCCATTTATAGAACAAGCGAATGAGATATCCCCAGCTTATTCCAGAATCTACAAAGAAATGATTCTCATAACGTCTCCAGATAAACCTCTTCCGCGAGCTGCGAAAGGAACTGTTATGAGAAAAGCAGCATACAACCTTTACCAGAAGGAGATTAACCAGATGTACGTTCCAACGGGACTGAATTACACGAATTGACATTCTCTAACGGGCCCACGGCTTAGATACGAAGCAGTAGAATCCAATACCGGAAGTGGTTCCGTAGCTCCTCCTTCCACTTGGGAGCTTCAAGATATAGGGAAGTGGATTATGGTTCAGGTGGTAGATCTTTGCGGAAATAGGCTAGAAACGTCTGATGATTTGTTTGAGCATGGGTTTGATAGGTGGGTACCATCCTCCTTCCGCCGAATGCTATCTTATCACTCATTCAAATTATAAGCCTCTCCGCTACGGTCCTGCGTCTACGAATATCTGGTGCCCTGCGCACCTCTGAAGACCCCTCAATACGTGGAGCTGCCCAACTGATAGACCAGGCTACAGTGTACAAGCACCCTACAGTCGAGAGTCTCGCAAATTTCGTCGTTGGGCTCATCAATAATTCTGGGAAAGATGCTGATCCCACCATTGCAATCTCGCAAATGATCGAAAAATATTCTCAAGGAATGGATGTCCCAATCGAATCCATATCTAATGGCGTTGGCTCTCATAATAAAGGCGTTGTTGTCCTGCTTACAGGATCTACAGGGAATCTTGGTGCTCAGATGCTCGCTTCATTGATCCCCAACGACGCCGTGGCCCGAGTGTATACATTGAACCGGTCGTCGACGCGAATGTCAATGTTGGATCGCCACAAGGAGCGTTTCCAAGATAAATCACTTGATACAATCCTTCTCTCCTCGGAAAAGTTGATTTTCCTCGAAGGGGAAGCCTCTCAGTCGGATTTGGGCCTACAGTATGATTTGTATAGCGAGGTACGCCGGCCTCAACTTGCGTTCTTCGACACCGTTCCTAACGTATTTGCATTAGCTCCTACAAAACGTAACACTCATCATACACAATGCCTGGAGGTTAGATTTCAACCTAGCCTTATCGTCCTTCGAACCGCACATTCGTGGTACTCGGAACCTCATAAATTTCGCGCGCGCATCTACCCATGCCTCATCCCTGCGGTTCTTATTCACCTCCTCGATTGCGTCTACTCAATCCTGGAACACAGCAACACAAGGATCGTATCCTGATCACATCAATGGTGATCCTAGGTTTTCGATTGGGGGTGGGTATGGAGAGAGTAAATACGTTACAGAGAGGGTATGTTTTGCTAAACCCGGCCCGGATAATTCTAAATGTAATTTAGATACTGGAAAAGAGTGGCTTACACGTTACTATCCTTCGAATTGGGCAAGTTAGTGGCGGCAAGCCAAACGGAGCCTGGGCGATGAGCGATTGGTTCCCGATGATGGTTAAGTCGAGCTTGGCGCTGGGCCTGTTGCCGGATGCGCATGGGGTACGTTGAATTCAAAAACATCCAATTCATGACTCGTCTGTATTGAAGTGTATTTTCCTCAGGTTGTTTCATGGGCACCCATGGATGCGATATCAGACGCGATTCTAGATGTGGCTTTCACTTCGGAAGAGGATATACCCATAGTAGTCAATCTGGTCCACCCGTTCCCCGTATCTTGGACATCTGTGATGGAAGCCATTCGAAAGGCCTTGAAAGCGGCCAAAAACCTGGATGACCCTAAAGCGTTACCATTGGTACCACTGTCTGAATGGGTCTCAGCCCTAGAAAAGACAGTGAAGAATAGTAGTTCTCCAGAAAAGACGTCTATCGAACTGGTGAGTCTTGTGTATATGCAGTACTTGCCGAGATTTCCTACAACTGTCGTCATAGCCTGCATCGAAAATCCTTGGATTTATCCAAAACATGTTGCAAGGCGATAAACTCGTGGCGAAATATGACGGAGATCTTTCGACTGTGGAAGCTGCTGGACTGACCTCTCTTGATACATCCAATGCTCGTCGGATCAGTCGTAGAATCAGAGAGTTGGAGCCGATTGGGCTCTATGACGCGGAGATGTGGGTCAGATATTGGTTAAAGAAGGGTCTATGATGGCTCAGGTGAAGATGCTTCTCCTTTTGACATGGGATTACTTAGACATAAAAGTAATAATTCAAACAACTCGCCAATCGAACATATTGTACGTACTACTCCGTCATCCAAAAGTGCTTGTTCGGAAAGCATCGATTCATCGACCTACTTATTAGCAGGATGAAGCATGAGCGACCGGTCTTTGGGGTACAAGCGTCGTGGGTATGAGTTACCTATGAAAACCAGCTAGCTTCCATCTAAGAATCTTGAGTACTGACAGGGCTTTCAGTAGATGTCGACGTGAGCGGGGGCAGACAACGAAGAATCTTTGTCAAATCTAGTTCAACGACAAATTAAGAAAGTATCAACTCAATTAAGCTTACCGGATCGCCCAAAACGAGCACAAATACACGACAGACCTCGCCTGGTGTACAATCTGCATCTGTTGAGCAAGTTGAAGTGATTTGAGGAACCGCAGATGTCGCACTCGACAGGGCGCACAGAACCAGTGTAAGGAGAAGGTACTTCATGGGGAATGTATGTGCTGCAGCGACCAATAATACGGAGAACTTCAAGGCTACTTCGTGGGGTAGGTCGACGTAAAAGACTGTTCTGGTTTTTTGGTTTTTTATACCATACCGCTACAAGATTATGCCCGTCCCTGCCCGTCCTCATTCAAACTGAACTATAGTGTTGTTGTTTCAAAGACGCGGCACCATCTTCCTATTTACATAAAATGTTCAAAATGTCATATATGCTCAAAACAACAACTAACAACTCGATTACCAGCATGCATACAGAGGATGAAGATTCTATATATAGTCAGAGCACCAATTACAAGTATGAATGTTTGAGCCTGGTTCGAGCTAAACATCCTTCAAAGACCAGACGCTTCCTTTCTCCGGATGAAGGCGCTAGGGAAGACTATTCAGCGAAACTCAATTGTGAAACTCGAACGGAACTTACTTCAGCTGGAATGACATAGGCTATCAACGCCTCTAGTACGCCCTAACGGTGTCACAATGTCGTATGAACTCGATATATTGAAAAACGAATAGACGTGGAAGGTCTCACCTTGCCGCCCCATTCCTCAATGGCTTGAACCCTTTCGGGGGTGATGAAATCCCGTTCTACGGAAGTGCGGGCTGCAAACACCATTTGAGCAGCGGAAACATAGATTTTTGAGTCCACAGTGACAAGCGGGGCAGAGGCACTTGGGGAGCCTAAGTTCACTCTAGATGGAGAAGAGTCCAGGGTGACGGGTCGGACAGGACCCGTGGTTAAAGGTGGCGCAGTGTGATTCAAGTTGTTACTTCTACTACTAGAAATTTTCGGTCGGTGGTTCCAACACTTCGCGAGGTGATAGAGATGATGAGTTTCCATCTGCAAGAGATATGAGCAAAAATCGACTGCGATTTCGATGTCTTACTTCAAGTGTACCCAAGTCGTCTACCTGTTGCAAAAGCTCCTCTACTAGGTGAGTATTATGATCTGGAAAAGAGGTCAAACGCCCTTGGGAAGAGTAGAAGCTACAAAGATGATGATTTTTCTTGATGTTTCATAATATCGAGCTAAGTCTGACCTATCAGCACTGGCATTAACTAGATGGCCCGCCACTACCGTTTGATCGCCAACCGGGCGCGCGTTCTCAAGGGATTTAACAACCTGCGCATTCCATTTAGCATCTGGAACAGACTAATGAACAATATCATGGTTACAATTTGGTGGAGTTGAGGGTCGTCTGATACCTAGATGAGGTGGTGCGTTGAACGATTCACACTATCAGAAGAGTATAAAGAATAAAACTCACTGGTTTGCTGATTCTATATGCCCTTTCTTCGTTCATTTGTTCATCCTCAGGTCTCCCAAAATCGAAGTCAACGTTCCTTGTAATACCAACACATGCTTTTGGCACAACTACGGTGCCGACGGGAGCAGATGTATGAGTGAGCGAGCCACAGGAACCCAGGCTGCAATGTTTTCAGTGTTGAGCAAATATCAAATCAAAAATATTGCACAGGGAAAGACGGAAAATCAATGTTGAAACTCGAAAATCTAAATAAATTTGGAACGAACCGAATGATAACCATGTCACCAGTGATACTTTCTCTCGCCTCTCGTACGAAGAAATCCATGTTCGGAGCACCCATACCGATTGAGATCACAGAAACCGGAGTACCTGCACCACATTTCGGACAACTTTAAACATTCCTCTATTGTCAAAATTCGTGCCAAACGGACCTTTGTATCTCCCGGTTATAGTTTGAAACCCTCTTTCACTCTCAATTCGAAATTTCTTTGGTTCTTCATCGAGATGGGCTGCGATAGTGAGTGCCCTTGAAGGCGATCCGACTGTGATCTGTCAACCGCGTCAAGGCGAAATCGAACAATTATGAACTGTGAACTCTGCACTGTGGTAACTCTGCAGAACACGACTGACTATTTTATTGGCAATCTCTCCAGGTCTGAGTCCTAGGTGGTATACGCGGTTATCTGCCGTCCGCGGAAAATCTGTTCTCGAATCCTAGCGATAACAGAGTGTACAAATCCGAAAACAGATGCAACTCACTCGCATCTGTGAGTTTGTCCTTCATCCGGGCCTAACAATACTATCTGTGCAGATGCGTTTCAGAGTGGTAGGATTTTGGGAGCTGCCTCTGAGTCGGCGGTCAATGAAATTTTGTGGCGGAATCAAGGGAATTCAGAGGTCAAGAAGTTTTGGGTTTTGGTGGCGGATAGTGATCAAGAGATTGACAATGAAATTTCAAGAAGACCTCTATGTACAAAAGAGATTTTCAAAATAAACTCAAATTACATCGAACTATCGATCTAAAGATAGATGGGCTTGAACCACCCCAGAGGTGACGGTCTTTTGAATATAGAAGAGAAAGAGTAGGTCATTGTTGAACTACATATGGTGAGATATGGTGTATATAGTTAAAATTCGATTTCTGAAGATGTTCATAATGATACTGTAACACGAGCATAGGGAACAAGGGTAATATTCGCTATCAATCCATACTGTTGATTTTGCGGGGGAGTTGGGTTGGTCGAAAGGCGCAATTGTCCCAAAGATTCAACTTCGGGCACCTGAACAAGAAAAATTATCATCACGAGCCCGTTATTGCATCGACAAACTGCTCAAGACTCACCGCATTGACAGCATTCAGCAACGTACTCGCCACATCCACTATGATCGTATTCGTTCCATTGACTACCAGCTTGGATATATCAACCACTGGATGTGTCGGATCTGCGGTCGCAACCTGTTTATCATTCAATCGTGCCTTCAACGTGTGAAAGATTTCGCCAAAATCCAGTAACAAACCCACTGCACCGTCGTCTGCATGACTCCACTCAAACGAGGTGCTGTATGTTCCTACACCAGAGATATTGTTAAGACCGTCAATCGAGCTCCAAGGAACCAATCCCTGGATGAGATCAATGGCAGATTGTGGGATAAGGACAGATTTATAGTCACTGAGATTTTGAGGAGGTGTCCACGCTGTGACATTCAATTGCCATCCATCTAACACTCGACTCGTTTCGTTTTCGAGTGAGAAAATGGCGGAAATTGATTCGCCAGCTTCAGTGACGAACTGCTTCATTCCCTCATCCTGAGAACGCAACTCGAACTGTTGACTACAAGGAGACGAATTAGTCAATGCAACTGCTGTGACATTGGGGTCGCCAGAGACAAGATGTCCGTTCACGACAGGAACACCTTCTAGAGAATCCCCTGACGTTATAGCGAACAATGCCGTTTGGCTGGGAGCAAGTGAGATTTCAGGGATAGAAATGTTGCCAGAGCTTAAATTGGAATAGAGGACGACTGGTATGACTTCGCCACTCCACGGATCCAAGGCAAACGGTGAACCTTCGAAACCAGGATTGAGTGTGAGCGTGAAGTTGATCGCTGAAGTGCCTTGATTGAAAAGGAAGAAGTACACAGTTCTCGTCTCGGAGTCATTATTATCTACCTCCCGAACGACGCTATACAATGTCGCCGAAGGCGGATCAGCCGCCACAGCCGGTAAGACTCCTAAAGAAACTAGAGCAGACGGGACATCACTCTCGTCCTCGACAACGACAACAGTAGCCTCCGCGGTGAGCTGACTCATCAGCGACTGAACCTGCACCATCGACACATTACCCATTTCAAACCCCGGTATATCACTCGGTATATCGCCTACAATGATGACCGGGAGTCCATTTTGGGCATAATCAACAAGCCTCTGCGCCGCATCGACAGTGATATTATCCTGACGCCCAAGGATAAATGCTTTATATGCAGGTCCGGCAGGTGCTAGGCGAGAGTCGGAAACTGTCACACCTGGGAGTTTGAGGTTTTCTGGACTGACATATTCATATGTGTATCCACTGCTTATGAGGAGGGAAGTTCCTGTATACGGGGGAGGGGTGACGATATTATATCCTTTCCGGTAGATGCCAAGATCGACTTTGGCGACTCCGGCTTGTAGAACGTATTGTGTTCGAGCCAAATAATCCAGATATTCCTTGTAATAGTCCCAAGCAGGCATGCGTGGCCCATGCATATCAGCGAAATAATACCTTCGTATTGATATATTGTTAATAGTGGTACATCGAGGAAGTAGTTCGCTAAACACTCACCCGAAAGTAGTAATACCTGGCCAAGTTGTGTTCGCATGATTGCCTGAATACGGAAAGCCATGTATCATCACAACATTTACACCAGCAGCATATTGAGCATTCGCATCCTGTAACAGCTCCACCATACGGATCACATTAGCTTCTTCGACACGAGCGCCGGTTTCACTAGAGAATATGGTGCGATTGCCCAGATGGACTCCTCCAGAAAGTTGACGTGCCTCATCGATAGTTGGCACGCCAAAAGATTCGATTTCAGGAGTGTCTGGAATAGCCGCACTCGCCGCTGTGTCCAGTTGTAAGTTATATGCCGGCTGGTTAGAGAACGACATCCCAATAGATCGCGCCCATTCAGAGAAATTCCCCATATAATCAATGTAGAGTGAGGTCTATGAGAATATTAGTTCTCAAATGCCCCGTATATAGTTTGAACTACGTACCAATGTGTCTTGATAATCCTCCGTGAATTTTTCCCAATCAAAGCTAGTGCCATAGTCAAATGTTTGATTCGGCGTCGTCTGAGCATCTTTCAAGATTATGTGATGAGTATATATATCGGTGGTCAGCGGAATACGTGTCAGCTTACTACTAGGGAGTGTGTGAAGCACTGGAAGCGTGATGTTGACCTCGTATCCATGCCTTTCCAAGAACCGTTCTGGAAAAGCGTCTGTCCAGAATAGTTGCGCCTGATATTCCATGCTATCTTCCCACATATACTGTCCAACTCCAGGAAGTGCTAGCATTTCTGCGATGTCTGCATTCGAGAGAAGGTTGTTCTCTATAAACGTCGCAGAGATGTTAAAACCCTTGACGGAGAAATGGTCAACAGCCCAAGATCCCCATGAGCCAGGTTTGTCGGGCTCTGGACCATTGAAACCAGGACGAGCTTCAGGATATCCGTTCCGACGCGAAAAATAGGAAAGAATCACGTTTGTCCCATTCGAAGGTGGTGTCCATGAGACCGTCATTGAGTCGCCAGAAGGCTGAACCTGGCTCGTGAGGTCCTGGACTGTATTGAAATCTAACGAAACTCGCGTGCTGCTGATATTTGCTCCTTCCACTACTCGGGCCCCAATGACACTAACGAGCTGCATTTGCGAGATATTTGCACTAGCTATAGTGTCATCGAAACGTAGAAAGGGGAATATTTCGGGTTGGGGAATGGGTCCGTTAAAGCTTTCTCCAGCGGCCAGGAAATGCGAGCCAAACACAAGCTCAGTATTCATTCCTTCCATGTCGACATCTTCTGGAAGCACTGGAACCCCTGCGCCTTCGACAGGACCGAGGGCGAAGTCGATGGTGAGATTATTGTCCATAGCAGCCTGTACCGCAGAAGCCGCGACATTGACGAAACGGTCAGAGCCGAATGCAAAGTCTGTGGGATCGATGGTGATAAGGCCGGTGAACGATAATACTGAGCCATAAGACTGATAGCTGAAGAAAACAGGTCAAGTTGATCTCCTTTTAAAGTTTTGGGATTTGAATAAGTGGTACCTCAAGAGTTCGAATCCAGATGAACCTAGTCGTGCCATTTCGTCGATGTCCGAGCGAAGTGTATCGATGTCGACACTCGCATCTTCAATCCAATAACGCCACTTCACACCTGTCTTTGGAGATGCAAACGTGCCTCGATTTACGACAGAACTGGCACTAGCGATTCCAGCCAACAGTAACAGCGGCAAGAGAAATCCGACCATTTCTCGACTAAAAGCAGGTTGTGAAAGCTGATAGGTGAGTGATCAATCTACATATCCTGTAAGCCTTTATGTGTACGAAATACTTGGACTCACGCCATCAAGAAAAAGCCGCAGTCAAGCAAACGCCTGTCAACGGAAGCAGAAAGAAATAGAGGGAATGGGAATAGGGGGAAATATCAGTCCGACGAGGGAGATAGCTCTGGTGATTCTAAATAGAGTAGATACATGCCTGACGAGGATTGAAAATCCCCTCGCATACCCTTTCGCTCTTGCAAAAACGTTCTACCAAGTATTCGAACTTCGAGTGTCAGAGGATCAAATAGCGAAAGAAAAGTCAGAAATTCGGATCGATATTGCCATTTGATTTGCCGGTTGTACGCTGTTGTATGTCCGTTTATTCCGCTGTTGTGCCTCAATTTTCGTTTCATTCTCGTCGAGACCGCACGAAAGGTACCAAAGATGTATCAGAGGGTGCAGGTGAGGAGAAATGAGAGGTTTTGTGTCGGAGACGATACCAATGTAGGTGGTAGAGCTGGTAAAAGCGACAAAGGACCTTTCTATTCCTAGTCATAGGTGAATGACTGGACTTCCCTGAATGGCGCATTTTTCACTGAACCCATCCGATCAATGGATAACCATCTAGGAGGGGTCTGGAGACGATTCGTATCGAGATTCTGTACCGGGCGTGCATAGCCGGTGCATACAGTGCTTTGCGTAATTCTTTGCTTGCTCGACTTTTTCCCATCTATTTGTGTTTATTTATTTGTCCAATATATTTTGCCCCAAAAAAGGATTTCAGCGATAGCTTTTCGAAGCCCGACGGCCTTCACTTCTCGAGCCTCAGCCCAAAAATGTATTGGACAAACAAACAGAAATAAATACTTGGTAAAAAATCCACATACCTACATATGTAGATAAAAGTACAAAGATAATTCAATTTCTGATGATATGATTACAATGGGTGACTTCCCGCTGCAATTATTCTGCAGTTAACTATTAACGGTATTTGATGCGACGTACGGACTGTTGATGGGACCCTCGCTTACACCAAAAACCAGTTTACAACAGGGTAGGGAGCTGTAGGGAGGCCGTTGTAAGTTGGTTTTGATGCAGTTTTTGCGAAGCCGCTGTCCGGCCATCTTCGCTTAGGTTCGCTTATATTGGTGGCACAAATTAATTGTCTGGTGTCCTGCAAATAATTCCTACGGGAAGTCATCCAATGATATGGTGGCTCGTGCATAGGGGACAAGGGTTACATTAGCTATCAGTCCATATTGCTGATCCTGCGGGGGACTAGGGTCAGTCGAAAGACGCAATTGTCCTAACGATTCAACTTGTGCAACCTGGGCAAGGAAAATTATTATCAAAAGTATCATGTGTCGGAAGATACCCAAGACTCACCGCATTGACAGCATTCAGCAACGTACTCGCCACATCTACTATAATCGTATTCGTACCATTGACCACCAACTTGGATATATCGACCACTGGATGTGTCGGATCCGCGGTCGCAACCTGTTTATCATTCAATCGTGCCTTCAACGTGTGAAATATTTCGCCAAAATCTAGCAACAAGCCCACTGCACCGTCGTCTGCATGATTCCACTCAAACGAGGTGTTGTATGTTCCTACACCGGAGATATTGGCAAGACCCTCAATCGAGCTCCAAGGAACCAATCCCTGGGTGAGATTTATGGCAGCTTGTGGTATAAGGACAGATCTATGGTCACTGAGATTTTGAGGGGGCGTCCATGCTGTGACATTCAATTGCCATCCATCGAGCACTTGGCTTGTCTCGCCTTCGAGGGAGAAATTGGCAGACATCGTTTCACCAGCTTCAGTAATAAACTGCTTCATTCCCTCATCCGGAGAACGCAACTCGAACTGTTGACTGCTAGAAGGAGACGAAGTAGTCAATGCAACTGCTGTGACATTGGGATCGGCAGAAACAAGATGTCCGTTTGGAATAGGAACGCCTTCGAGAGAATTGCCTGATGTTACAGCGAACAGCGCCGTTTGGCTAGGTGCGAGCGAAATTTCAGGAATAGAGATGTTGCCAGAGCTTGAATTGGAATGGAGGACAACTGGTGCGACTTCTCCACTCCATGGATCCAAGGCAAACGGTGAACCTTCGAAACCAGGATTGAGTGTGAGCGTGAAGTTCATCGTTGAGGTCCCTTGATTGAAGAGGAAGAAGTACGTAGTTCTCGTCTCGGAGTCATTATTATCTACCTCCCGAACGACGCTATACAATGTCGCCGAAGGCGGATCAGCTGCTACAGCTGGTAAGACTGCTAATGAGACTAGGGCAGACGGGACATCACTTTCGTCATCGACAACAACAACAGTAGCCTCCGCAGTGAGCCGACTCATCAGCGATTGAACCTGCACCATCGACACATTACCCATTTCAAACCCCGGTATATCACTCGGTATATCGCCTACAATGACGACCGGGAGTCCATTTTGGGCATAATCAACAAGCCTCTGCGCCGCATCGACAGTGATATTATCCTGACGCCCGAGGATAAATGCTTTATATGCAGGTCCGGCAGGTGCTAGGCGAGAGTCGGAAACTGTCACACCTGGGAGTTTGAGGTTTTCGGGACTGACATATTCATATGTGTATCCACTGCGTATGAGGAGGGAAGTTCCTGTATACGGGGGAGGGGTGACGATATTATATCCTTTCCGGTAGATGCCAAGATCGACTTTGGCGACTCCGGCTTGGAGAACGTATTGTGTTCGAGCTAAATAATCCAGATATTCCTTGTAATGCTCCCAAGCAGGCATGCGTGGCCCATGCATATCAGCGAAGTCATACCTTCATGATGGTAGATGTTCAGTGGTCACACATTGAGGACGTAGTTATTATACTCACCCGAAAGTAGTAAGACCTGGCCAAGTTGTGTTCGGATAATTGCCTGAATACGGAAAGCCATGGAGCAACGCAACATTCACACCACCGGCATACTGAGTATTCGCATCCTGCAGTAGCTCCATCATACGGATCGCATTAGCTTCCCCAGGTCGAGCACCAGTTTCACTAGAAAATATGGTGCGATTCCCCAAATGTACACCCCCAGAAAGTTGACGTGCTTCGTCAATAGTTGGTACTCCAAGGGACTCAATTTCAGGAGTGTCGGGAATAGCAGCACTAGCAGCTGTGTCCAGTCGGAAGTTATACGCCGGCTGGTTGGAGAACGACATCCCAATAGATCGCGCCCATTCAGAGAAGTTCCCCATATAATCAATGTAGAGTGAGGTCTAGGAGACTATTGGTTCTCAAGTGTTCAACATATAGTTTCATGGTCAGCTACGAACCAATGTGTCTTGGTAATCTTCCATGAACTTTTCCCAATCAAAACTAGTGCCATAGTCAAATGTTTGATTCCGCTTTGTTTGAGCATCTTTCGATATATGATGAGTATATACATATATCGGTGGTCAGCGGAATAAGTAGTGACTTACTACTAGGGAGTGTGTGAAGTACTGGAAGCGTGATGTTGACCTCGTATCCATGCCTCTCCATGAACCTTTCCGAAAAAGTGTCCGTCCAGAATAATTGCGCCTGATACTCCATGCTGTCTTCCCACATATACTGTCCAACTCCAGGAAGAGCTAGCATTTCTGCAATGTCTGCATTTGATAAGATGTTGTTTTGTATGAACGTCGTGGAAATGTTTACGCCTTTGACAGAGAAATGGTCAACAACCCAGGATCCCCATGAGCCAGGCTCGTTAGGGTCTGGACCATTGAACCCAGGACGAGCTTCAGGATATCCGTTCCGACGCGAAAAATAGGAAAGGACCACGTTTGTCCCATTCGAAGGTGGTGTCCATGAGACCGTCATTGAGTCGCCAGAAGACTGCACCTGACTCGTGAGGTCCTGCACTGTATTGAAATCTAAAGAAACCCGCGTGCTGCTGATATTTGCTCCGTCAACTACTTGTGCCCCGATGACACCAACAAGCTGCATTTTCGAGATGTTCGCACTAGCTACCGTGCCATCGAAACGGAGAAAGGGAAATATTTCGGGTTGGGGAATGGGTCCGTTAAAGCTTTCTCCAGCGGCTAGAAAATGCGAGCCAAACACAAGCTCAGTATTCATTCCTTCCATGTCGACATCTTCTGGAAGCACTGGAACCCCTGCGCCTTGGTCAGGACCGAGGGTGAAGTCGATGGTGAGATTGTTGTCAATAGCAGCCTGAACCACAGACGCCGTTACATTGACGAAACGGTCAGACCCAAATGCAAAGTCTGTGGGATCAAGGATGATAAGGCCGGTGGAGGATGATACAGAGCCATAAGACTGATAGCTTAAACAGGTTTCAAATTAATTTCTTCCAAAGATTTGCAATCTGAATGAGTGATACCTCAAGAGCTCGAAGCCTGACGAGCCTACCCGTGCTATTTCACCGATGTCAAAGCGAAGCGTATCGATATCGACACTCGCATCTTCAATCCAATACCGCCACTTCACGCCAGTCTTTGGAGATGCAAACGTGCCTCTGTTGACAACGGAACTAGCGCTGGCAACTCCGGCCAACATTAACAGCGGTTTGAGAATTTGAACCATTTCCTAGCTTTAGATAGGTCATAGAAGTCACCAATTAACCATTTTATATACCCACTAGGAGCACCATAAGCAGCTCAGTTCCGTTCAGGGCATCGCTTTGCTCCTCACGGGCCTTCGCCTGTGTATTTCCATGATATCTGGCCAATTACATGTCGAGGGCGAACAATGTTCGTTCGTAGTATTGATATTAATGAATGAATAACCTCTGGAGCAGAACAAATGACCAGTCCAGGTGGACAACGACTGAGTAGGAGAAGTTTCTTCGAAGACATCGTCTGCTCGTCCGACGTCATGAGCTAAGTTACAAGTGACACGAACTGTCACGCTCGACGCGTGCACAATCCAAAATGACCATTCCACTCTCACGAGTCGCGATGTCACTTACGGATTCTGCCGACACTCGTTCCGCCCTCAGGTTTCCTCGTAGTCATCGTGTTTTCCTCTGGCTATGGTAACATAACACGAAACAAGTATCCACGGTGCCAACTCCAGAAGTTCCAATGAGAGAACAATCTTTCTTCACTCTGGCTTGCGAGATTTGATTCACCATTGTCACTGGTTTCCAAGTCCACTGAACCTATAGACAAGTCTGCTCTGAAATATCGCGACATGCGAAAGCAGTCTGAAAACCCATATCGGCCAACTGAAAAGATGCGGTTTCAACACAAAGTTGAAAACATTAATCATGTTTTTAGTGAGCCTGATGTTGTCCAATCCGCGGATTCTTCGAGAGGCGGCGTATTTTTCCAGGGCCATCGTATCGACCGTGTCGGAATTCGACTTGGATTGATCACATTGTTCCTCCCTCTGTCTGATGTGTTCCACTAGAATAGGGCCAAGACCAGTTGCGTCTCGTAGGCCCAAGTTCATACCTTGGAAATTTCGGAAGAAATTAGCAAACTCACATTTGAAGAATCCAACTTCAAGTGAAATACTCATCTGGCCACCCACAGGTGAATGTACATGGGCCGCATCTCCCACAAGGAACACAAGGCCTCCGTGTACGCGTTTGAAGAAAACGTCGGCGAGAGCGGAATGTGTTCGGAAACGAGTTGACCAGTGTACTTTCGAAATCCTCACAGGCTTTGGATTGACTTTCGGATCGGAGCATAGGCTGAACGGAGCCTGTTCATCCATACTGCTTTGAATGTATTCCAAAGAAGGTTTCGATGGTGGTTCTCCCAGCGCTCGAGGGACGTTGAACCCAATACGGTACACATTCTCAGATGAATTGTACAGTAGTTCGCTGACCGCAGGTTTGCCCAAAGGGATTACGACGAACATCCCAGTCTCCGATAGGGTTGCAGATACTCCGGAGGGGAGAAGAGCTGCTTGATCCTCTGAAATGGAAAGAGAAACGTCTGCTAGAACCATTTGGGCTACTCGGTCATCGATAGAATCATCGACCGATTTACCATCTGGATCTGCAAAGTTGATACCAGACAGCTGGCGGACCTACCAAGTGCGTTGACTTCTAGTCGAAGGATCGAAACCAATGTACTCACCATAGACCTAGCACCATCTGCACCTATGACATACTTTGACCTCACTATCTCTCCTGACTCGAATAGGATATCAGTGCCTTTGCCCTCCCCGCTATCTTTCATTCCCACAACTCGCAAAGGTCTCTTTACTTCGATGCCCAATTCTCTGAGCCTCTCCTCCAATACATGCTCCGTAGCAGTTTGATCGAGGATTAAGACAAATGGGTACTTGGTGTAAGGAGCATTGTAATGAAAGTTCGCTTGAAAGATAATCGAATTTCGATCTCCTATACTCCAGCTTGCGCCCTGGATTCCCAGTTCAACTAATTTGGAAGCACATCCATAGGTGTCCAGAGCCTATCGGGTAAAGAATGAGCATGGGTGGTAGTTATAACATATCACTCAAACCTCAAGGGTAGCAGCATGTATACCGATTGCTCTGGAAGTATTTGCTCCTTCCCTTACGCAATCTACGATTGTGAGGTTGGAGGGCTTGATCCCATTACAGATGAGTGATATTGCAGCCGCTAGCCCAGTGGGACCTGATATGAAAGTCGCTAGTAGGTCTTCTAAATAGGCCTAGCGGAGAGTGAAGGGCACCTACCTGCTCCCACAATGAGAATTTGAGTCTCTATTGGAAGGAACGTTTCTACTGGCATCATGATAGACAGCGAGAAAAGAATCAAGACATCCTTTCTCCCGCATGTAGTCTGTTTATATACCAGATTCTACTATGAATTTAAGCGGCGGGACTAATTTAACCGTATTTTTGAAAGTTGTGGGGAAGGGAAGGTACGCAGTTACCGTAACAGGATTCCGAAGAAGCAATCCTGTCAACTGACGCTGATATATGTTTATGTAGTGGCATACTATCACCAAGATGCATACTGTACGTTCGCGAGTCAACTTTACGGTTTGAAGTCTCGCTTTAATTTTGCAAGTCCAAAATTTATTGATCCCTCAGAACACTGTATAAACATAATGCACTGAGCATACTATGTATTCATAGGCGCAGAATAGAGTTTTTCTATTTTTCATTCCGGGAAATCTCAGTTGAGGAATTTTCACAAGAGATGTGCTGTATTGCGTTCATTACTACGCTGACAGTGTGCCCCGCCATCGTGTTTATACATGCGTGGATTTGACTAAGAGTGCTTCCAGTGCTGAGCCAACTCTAATGACCACGACATAGTACTAGCCTCGAATAAAAATTATGCTACTATTGCACCTCGTCACCGATTTCCTAGACCACTCAGTCTATAAACAAGCCTGCTCTGGAATATCGAAAGACTTGAAAGCAATTTGAAGATCCATAGCAACAGCCTGCTGAGAAGATGCGGCCTTGATACAAAATTGAGGATATTCGTAAAATCTTTGGTGAGCCTGATATTTTCCAGTCCGCGAATTCGTCGAGATGCAGCATAGTCCTCCAGAGTAGTCGTGTCAAAATCCATATCACTGAGATCCAGATTTCTTGCACCTGGAGCAGACAAGTTGCTCTCTCTGTTCCGGATATGGTCCGCTAGAATAGGTCCAAGACCGGCCGCGTCTCGCAGGCCAAGATTCATACCTTGAACATCCCGGAGGAGTTAGTAATTTCAACTGAATTAAATACATGAGCTACTCATCTGGCCGCCTGCAGGTGAATGTATATGTGCCGCGTCTCCAAGAAGGATTACGATCCCTCCATAAACACGTTTGAAGAAAACATCGGCAAGGGCAGAGCGCATGCGAAATCGGGTTGACCAATGTACCTTGGTAATCCTCACTGGATTTGGATTCACATCTGGATCGGAGCTCAGAACAAAAGGGGCATGTAGGTTCGTATTGTTTTGGAGATATTCCAAGGATGGCTTCGAGGGAGGTTCCCCTAGTCCGCGAGGGACATTGAAACCAATGCGGTACACAGTATCAGATGAACCGTATAGCTGCTCGCTGACAGTGGGTTTGCCCAAAGGGACCAGCAAAAACATCCCGGCTTCTGAGGCAGTCAAGGATATGCCAGAGGCTTGGAGTGCTGCTTGATCTTCTGGAAGAGAAATAGAAACGTCTGCTAGTACCATCTGCGCAACGCGATTGTCCACAGAATCTTCGACCGATTTACCGTCTGGATCTGAGAAGTTGATACCCGCTAATTGACGGACCTACACACAAAATACGCAGGAGGAAGGAGTAAAGCATATGTTAATTCCTCTCATCACTGTGCATAATTCAAAGTATACGGATTCGACTTACCGAAGATCTAGCACCATCAGCTCCTATGACATACTTTGCGCTAATGGTCTCCCCAGACTCGAATAAGATTTCTGTACCCTTGAACTCTTTACCATCTCTCATACCAGTAACACGGCACGGTCTTTTGACTTCGACTCCCAGCTCTTTCAGCCTCTCCTCCAGCACACGTTCCGTGGTCGACTGCTCTAGGATCAAGACAAATGGAAACTTGGTGTATGGGGCAATGTGATCGAAACTAGCTTGGAATATTGTGGAGGTCTTATCACCCAACCTCCAGCCTGTGCCTTTGATACCCAATTCGACTAATCTGGAAGCACAATCATATTTATCCAGTGCCTGCGGGATGAGGGAGAATGAGGCCAACTTGAACAGGTGATGTCCATAAAGATACTTACTTCAAGAGTTGCTGCATGGATAGCCAGTGCTCTGGAAGTATTAGCTCCTTTTTCAACGCAATCTACGATTGTGAGGTTGGAAGGGTCAATCCCACTATAGATGAGTGATATTGCAGCTGCAAGCCCAGTGGGACCTAATTTAAGTCGTACCAGTCAGCAGAATTAGACTCGAAGGGTCAGCAGGTATGTAAGTTTTTACCTGCTCCTACGACGATGATTTGAGTTTCTGTTGGAAGTGTGTTTGTCATAGTCTGCACATGCAACTTTGATGGTTCGACGACAAGAGAAAAAATCGGGTGTACTGTGTCCTACAAAAGCTGTACTTGGACTGATTTTATACCCACCTAGCTATAGAATCTGTACATTAACTGGAAGTTGCCTGAGCTAATCCGACCCATATACCAGTACGGGTTAATTCGGAACCAGTATCACCGCTACTGCGAAGAGCTGCGAAGACTTGATAGTTGACGCAAGTTGCAAGACTAACGTGCAAGCCAAGTTGCCGATTGATGATACAAAACACGCGGCAAAAGAGCAGATAGAAGCAAAAACAACATTCAGAAGTTGGTGTCAGTGTGGACAGCTGTGGACTTCCAACAGATTCAGCCGCATAAACCGGTCAGCTATAGTGACAGAGATATTCCTTTTTGCCGCAAGAATTTACGGATGACCAAACAGTACTCACCGCTCTTCATTTGTTCCGCACCATATGGAACAGGGTATGTATAACAGCTACATAATCCTATTACTTGTGACGGCCTCAGTTATTTATAAGGTTCATCCAGGTTCCATCTCATACAAAGAGATACGTCGAGGATCGCGGAAGAATCGGTTCAAGTATTCGGTCCGGCGGATAATTAATTTGCAGGGTTCACAGAATCGCCAGACTGCGAAGAAAGTGAATCCCTCAGGCGGCTTCATGTTGCAAAACGGTTATTAAACGCATACATTACGCAGTTTTTGGCTTGAATCGTTTTGGTATGGTCAAAAACCTCCGAACACTCCAAGCCCACAACGTCCCGCAAGATAACGCCAAAATCCCACCAACCGCTACGTGGATCAGAACGGGACGGCTCAGTACCCCTATGCGCCCTTCTTTCTGAACAGCTTTAGTGGCACTATGCATTGTTTCACTCAAGCGGATGAAGAAGGCAGAGATCGTGAGGCCGAATACCAGACTCCAAGGGGGTAGGACTTCTCGCCATTTTAGTGTACTGGACGCATTATGGGCAGCGAAGAATGTATGAGAGAAGCGGCAGGCGTATATAATGCGCGCTGACAAGTTGATTATGTTCGCATAAACGAGTGCCGCGTCACCGAGATCCAAGCGATACAATACGATAGCTGAAGCTACATAAAGCACTGTGAACAGGACCATCCAGCTGCAACGGGCTGATAAACTTTGTGGTACGTTAATAGGAACGATTCGACGACTCACCGGCTTTGTTTGTTAACATCTTTTGTGAGAGCAACACTGGCTATGAATGCCTCCAGTCCTCCATTCACCGCTAGCACTGGGATATACCATATCCAAGCTTCGAGTACACGAGGAGCACTGGTATTGAGATATTGCGGTGGAAGAAGGACGTTTAGCAGAAGTGTTATGTAGTTCGTTCCGAAGATGAGGACGAATAATGAACCGATGATCTGCATTTGAAGTAGGGTGATGAGTGCATCCGCGGCTTTTTTTAAAGCGGGTATAGAAGTTTCGCTCGCTTGTGTTGACGATGGAGGTGAGGAAGCTACAGTGATGTCTGCTAAAGTCCTGGAAAAGTACAGCCGTAGCGTCTCTTCTATTGGCTGGAACACGATACGAGCGATGAGAGAGCCTGTACTCATCGGATCAAGGATGAGATTACCAGGTCGAAGTGACGGAGAGAATCATACCGTAGTTTACAGCAAGGGCGTATCCACCTTGATCCTGGAGAGGACTGAACCAGGAAAGAATGAACTTGTCGCCTTCGGTAAGGAGATGCTTGACCAAAGATTGTGAAGTCATGGTCATAGATAAAGCAAGCACGTCGTGGTTGAAATATATCCTGAAGTACTGGAATGAGCTAAGATCTGGCTCGAATTTACGACCAACTCACCCTGAGGGGTTCTTTTCCATTCTTGTAATGAGACCTCCCCTGCCAAACTCTCGTAGATATATGAAAAACACGGAGGATCCGTACCAAAGCTGGCCAAACGCAAATGCCAACAGAGCTAGGTCACCACCTTCGTCGCCTCTGCTGACATCGTACACCAGGACAAGGAACGTGGCCAACGTCTTCGCAGTGATAGCCACCCCTTCTGCGCGGACTCTAAGGTGTATTTTGAGACTGGTCATTGCCCTATATAACACGGTGAGACAACTGTACGATAAGGCGAATAAGAAAGACTCGCACATACATACATATTATGCATTGGCTCTGCTAACAGTTCCATGACTGCGGCTGCAACGTATATTCCGACTGCTAGTTGAAAATGAGGTTGTTTACGTGTTTCCATCCCCGCGGTAGCCATGTATAGCAAGGACGTCACCAAAGCCAGAGGGACACCGATGATAATAGGAACAAAACCAACATTCATCGTAGCATCGTCCTTCTTGGGATCCAATGTAGCCTTCCCGGTGTCTTCAGTCTCTGATATGGGTTTGACGCGTAACAGAGTGCCTCGTACACCTTCTCGACTCAGGAAAAGAATTGTGCTGAGCATGAGATCAAATTGGATGGCAGCGATACCATAGGCTATCGGCGAGGCCAATCGAGAAAGAGCTTGATTCAATATGAAAGTAAATAAGCGAGTAAAGAGCTGGAGTCCCATTAGGGACGTCAGTGTGGACGTCGTAGACGACATTGCGGAAGACACTATGGTCGTAACGAAAGTCAATCGTGGTCGTTGCCGGCTGTGCCGCAGTTTCGGCATGCCCAAAGATTTGATGGCATTGATGGTTGATCGGAACTTCGTCGGTCGCGTTTTCGGTCTGCGGTTGTCTTCCGCTCTCTTTGTTCTCGGTTGCCTTCCGCACCCCTTCCAGCATCTACTCTCATCTACTGTTACTACATATAGCATTTACTCTGACGTTGACTCAGGGGGTATACAACGTGCTTGCTTCGGACGCTCTGCTACAAGAATGGTAAGGTCAGAGTACGTATTGCGAACTCCGAACTTCTGCGCATTTTTTCACCGCACTTTTACTGCCCGTTGCAATGTAGCAGGTTGCGACGTCGCATTCTGGACAGGCAGTCTGAACGAATGGAAAGGCGTTTGATGACTGATCACACGACTGCCGGTCATCAATAGGATATCTTCTGGTGCAGAAGTACAGGAAAGTGGAGAACTATGGAGGATCGCATACTTGATCAGGTTTCATGCCGGTTTCGACAATCGACTTGTTTCGAGACTAAAAGTTGATTGTTTGAAGGTCGAACGAGTCAAGACAGGACAGGGCGGGACAGGGCATAGGGCGATAATAGGCGATAATCAGTGAAATAGTAGATCACCACAATCACCTAGCGTTTGTATTGAGGCGCTAGCTAGCTAGCGCTGAAGTCATGAAGCTTTGTGAGGTTGTCAGTGTTGTTCCAGCCAGGTTCCAACAGGTTCCAACCAGTTCCAACATTGTCTTGTAAACGTTGACGACATCCACTTATTCACCTAACTTTGTAGAACTTACCATTACTGTCTCCCCTGTGATAGGTTGTGATCCCAAAGCCCAAAATGGAGCAAGCAAGGGTCAACCTGGGTCAACGCGTTTGCAGGGGGTTTCACTGGGGTTTCAAGCGTGACTTTTTTGAAATACGAGCTAACTAGACTAACCTGAGCAGATATCTTCCGTTCGCAATTTGGTCGATCCTTTTCGCAATAGTGACGTTGATTGTTTGAGCATTGCCACAGCAGTGACCAAGTCCAGTATAGATACTATGATAGATACATAATTCCGTTCGCACTGACAGCCGGGAGAATGGTTAATAAGGCCTCCTGATCAGAGTTCCGACGATGCGCCACACAGAGATCACATAGATGTGGAACTAAATGGAACCTTTCTCGATGTACCGGTGCTGTACCGGTGTGTGTCCGACTAGCATAGACAAGTGTAACTCTGATTATTAGTAGTGTTCGGAGCCCGGAGGAGCATCTAGGAGCATTCCAGCCCAGGTGCTCGAGCATCAAAATCGCAAAAGTCCCTCTTGAGTACGATATTTATGATATCACACTGAGGGTATGATTCGATGTCTCTGAATGGTTCGATCCCCCTGATTTGCCTTCCATAATTTTGGGTGATGGCCTGTGATGGCGGGGTGAAGATCCTTGGGGAGCAACCTCTCGCATATCGAGCATGTATGGAAAATTTCTCCAGTGCGTTAAAGGTATTTGCAATACACATCCAAAGTCCTAATCAAGCTGTTTGTCGGCCAGATACACATCGCAGAAAAGTCCCTCAAAAGGAAAATAGTTCATAACCTGCCCAATCGATCCTGGTCGTAAGGGGATGGGGACTATGGGAACTTGAAAGAGATTTAGAAAGATTTGGAATGAGAGCATCAAATATTGATTAACCGTTAGCGAGTGAAGATTTACCCATTGGCAATCGCTTATGATCGTCGGCTTTCCATAAATGGTCGAGTTTTTGCGATCCGCAAGAAACGCGGCTGTGTGCCCCTGCGACCGGAAGGGTCGCTCCGCAATTAGCGAATTTGCCATCTCTACCTTCTGGTTCGTTAAATCTGATCAAATCAGAAATGTTGCTCAAGTACTTCGCGTCTTACTTCCCCGTTTCTGTCCACCTTATTCGACATTTTCCGATTCAATCCGATGAAGAGACAACGCGAAAACAGTTCTTCCTCCTCAGGACCTTCAGCTTCTACTACGAGACCAGCTAAACGAGCAAAAAATTTCCAGGCCTGTGCTTCATGCAAAAAGACCAAACAAAGGCAAGGACCCATCCTATATCCCAAACTGCCAAGTTCTAACGAAAACCGCACCTAGGTGTGAAATTCTTGATAGTGTTGACCAGCCTGTCATCCGTTGTCATCGATGCAAAGTCCTTGAGGTGGACTGTTCGTACTCTGAGATGGATAGAAGCATTTTTCAGCCTGCTCGTCCAGTGGTCAAGGAAGAGCATCGTAGCGAAGAACCTTCAGGATGGCAAAACAAGAATTCGGATAGAGCTTCTAGCCCGCCAGTACCACCAGAACTTTTTCCGAATCGTCCTCATCTACTTTGGGACTTTTTGGACGTGCCGGATGGGACTTTGGATTGGACGGCTCCGTTACAGGCTATTCAGGAACTCATGAAACAAACCCAATCCCCTGTATCACGGCACTACTCTTCTCCTCCTCCTCCTGATCCAAGTGACTCGTTAGATCGTGTTCTCTCACCGGACCAGATTCTTCACCTGAGAGCAATGTAAGTGTTCGATTGAAAACCGTCCTCGTGAAGCTCACCAACTGGTTTTCCAGATTTGAACAAAATTATTTACCATGGCTCAATTTTTCGCCCATTCGTGAGGTCCATAGTCCCCTTCTTGATCTCGTATACTGTACCATCGCTTCTCGTCACCTTGACGATAGAACACGGGCTGAGGTTGCTCCTAGGCTGCAATCATTAACTGCGGAGAATGTTGCCAGAATGATCCTTCAGTCTCGTCGTTCGGAGACCTTAGAGTCAATTCAGTGTCTTCTTATTCTATCACTTTGGGCACCGGTCTGCGGCGTGGATGAAGATTCTCGTGACGGTCGTCTCCTCGTCGCATCAGCGGTAACTATGGCGCATAACATGCGTCTGAATGAAGCTTGCCAGGTAGCTGCTAGATTGCAGAGCAAGCGAGAGAAAGGAGAAGATGTGCATGACCAGGAATTATTTGAGGCGATGAACAAAACTCGTCTGGTGAGCAAAAATCTGTTGCTCCGTTTCCTTGCGCTGACTGTGTACATAGTGGATGGCTCTTACGAATGTAGAATCCTTGTAAGCTTTGTTTTTTTCGCATGCGCTGTCTTTTGTAGACTAATTATGCTGCAGACTGTGTACTGGCAGCGGACGCAATCCGCTTTCGAAACGATGTCCAGCGTATCTGACGATATTTCCGGCATCACGCTTTCCAGTAGATATCGCTTCAGGACGAGATCTTCGTCTAAAACTCTTAGCGGAGCTTTTCGACATCACTGAAGCTGGTTTATCGATCCGCCTTCAATCCCTATCTGAAACCGATGTCAACCACTGGCACGATAGATTTGTTCATGTCCTATCTGACCTTAGTCGCGTCGCACGCGTCTTGTTGCCTTTGCCTGGTAAGTATCTCGTTGGTTTGCGACTGATTATCATTGGACTCATCTTCTCTGTCTCTTCTAGTGGTCAGCGACTTCGAAACATTCTACTTCCAGATGCTCAACATTCTCGTCCATACGTGTCGACTCTTGATCCTTTACCAGACTTTCCTCAGCGCTCGAGAGTATTTTGTTCGTACTGGGAACGACACGAATCCCAGGTGGTTCCAGGAAGTTCACCCACATGGTCTTCCTATCCTTATTCAATGGGGGCGGGAGACTATGGCGGTGGCGGAATCGATCCTTGTCCAGGTGCTCGAAATGGATTACAGGTTGCTAGGAACTTCGCCCGACTACATTTTCAACATGATTGCCTTCTCCGCCAGTTACGTTCTCGGCTCCAAGTTCCTTGTCCTACAGACTCTGGGGGTCGATTTACCAGGTTCCAGCGAAAGGCTTCTTTCCAAATGCATCGCACGGCTACACCAATGCTGTTATTCTCCTGACTCTGCTGCTAGGAAATGCGCCGTCTTGATTTCCGATATGTTGACGTTATGGGAGAACAAGCTGGCCACAATCTGTGCAGATAAAACCTGTTCGTCGTCGAGGGAACATAGTCGTGTATCCTACCCTTCTTCTCACTACAACTCCCGGGGCAACCATGCACAGCAGGCTGGTACCCCCAATAGCAGTTCCAGTCGGCATTCATCCCCCCAGTCGTCGTCCTACGTCCCGGAAACGCCTCATTTCCCTCAGCAACCTCGAGGTCACTGGGGGTCGATGATGAACGGCGACGTGAACTGGTATGGGCCAGAGGACTTTAAGGATTCCGTCTTGGTTTCCAACGACTTCGGCGACTACAGTGCTGATTACGGAGGCATGCCGAATCCGATCTACCAGCATCTATACGTTTGAGTACATAGAAATTCTTCTTTTCCTATATATTGTTATTAATTTTGCAAGCTGTTTCCTGCTGTTTCCCATTTAAATTTCTTGGATACCTCTTTCACTTCTGTGTATTTATGTGTTATTTCCTGTATGGGTAGATGAAGTTCGCCTGCGAGCTGCTGCAGCTGGTAGCTGGTAGTGTATGAATAATAATTGAAGTAATCAATCAAGTTGTTTTCATTTGGTACTTCCGGCCCGGGCCCAGTACATAACTCTAATTTCTGCACTGAACTTCGAAGTTGGAAGTACATATATCAGTCTCAAACTGCGTGGCGATGTCTTCCTTTTTCCCTTCCCTCTCGACTGTAGAAACCTTGGCAAAGGGCGCATTTGCAACTGCCGCAGGCCTTGGGACGCTCAGCGCTGGACTTCTTTACTATGGTCAGAGCTACCTCATTTACCCATCGGCGTATATCAAGATTGGGGAAGACGATGGAGCTCCATCTAAACCAGCATCGTATGGCCTTCATCACGAATCAGTGGACCTAAAAACCAAGGACGGACAATCTCTCAAATGTTACCTGCTCCTGCAGAAGAAGGATCTTCCAAAGGTACGATAGTTGCACTGCTTTTCTGGATTTATCGACATGCAATCGTCTGTTGTACGTAGGCAACAAAATTCAGCTCATTACCGACAGTTCCTATCAGTGCGATAGAAGGCGCCACAGAATCAGGTTACGCAGAAATGGCCGATGAAGAAGTACGTGCAAACTATTTCACTCCATACCCTCAGGCTTATGACTTATTCATAGTTAGTCTCGCACAGGCCTACCGTTATCATGTTCCACGGAAATGGAGGTAACGCAGGACACCGAATTCCATTAGGGATGATGTTCCAGCAAGTTATGCGGTGTAATGTTCTGGGCGTTGAATATCGGGGATATGGAGATTCTACTGGGACCCCCTCGGAAAGTGGATTTGCTATTGACGCTGTTACTGCGTTGGAGTTTGTAAGAGGCGATGCTAGGCTTAGGAATACCCCTGTGGTGCGCCTTAGAACTTCCATCTCTTCTCAATTACGTATTGAAACCTGTGGACAGATCCTCTACGGACAGAGTATAGGAGGTGCAGTGTCTATTGATCTGGCTAGCCGGTTTCCTGGAGAAGTACACTTCGCTGCATGTTATTCATCTAGTGTCAAAGTACTCATGTCGTCGTTAGATTGCAGGTATTATCCTCGAGAACACGTTTCTTTCTCTCCGACTTCTCGTCCCACACGTTCTACCTCTGCTCGGCCCTTTCAGGTGGCTTTGCCACCAACGATGGGAGAGCGCGGGTAAGATTATTGGCATGCCTGATGTGATTTCGCAAGCTCGGGTCGAAGACAGATTAGTGGGGCTCGTGAAAGAGAAAAATGATATGAAAGCGAAAGAGGCGTTTAAGGAACGTCTGGCGAACGCAAACGACGTGCTTAATTTAGCGGCCAGTCAGGCACTGGAGGGTGGCGGAGGATCGCTTGCAAGAGTCGGGAAAGGTCTTGGGAAGGAATACAAGGGAATACCGAGGGAAACGAACGTATTACTGTTGAGCGGACAATCAGATACGCTGGTCGGTACATTCGTGTCTCTGTTTCTTGCCTTAAGTGACTGAGGCGCCTGCGTATAGGTGCCACCAATACACATGAGATTTCTTCGTCAAGTGTTTGAAGCACGGCCGCACACGAGAAGAACGCTCGGGTTGTTGCCTTTACCGGCTTATCAGGAAGGAAAAAGTGAAGATACAGTAGACGAAGAGCGGAGTCAGTTCATTCTATTCCCTGGAGGTACACATAGTACGTATACTTTTTTAGTTGATCTTAACGGTGACTGAGCTGCTCTTTGTGTACTCCTTCTTGATCATTATTAGATGACACCACGGCACAACACGGGTATTGGAACAGGATAGGTGACTTTATTGCAGAAGTTGGGAAGGAGTGGCGGGAGCAGCAGAAGTTGGGGAATGATTCACGATCATAACGATATTTGTATACATCTAGGCAAGTTGAATGGGCTCTGGAAGGTACTTCCCAAGCCTGACCCACAGTCTCTTGGGAGTGCTTCGAAATGATCGACATCGAGCATACTTTGGGAATAGGTACATACGGATACATGCACAACTTGAAGAACTTGGAACAATTTCATACTAGAATTTGGATCGATTTTGCACGCGTCGAAGTGAATGGCGGGTATGATTCAAATCGGTGTTGAGTCTCCTCCATTTTGTGCATTGTACCTATGTAATACTTGCAAGCGACTAGAATCTGGAAGCAAAACAGTGTAAATACCGACACCGGGAATTCACTGAAAGAAAGCGAGGCGAGTCTCTGCAAATCGTGGGAAACAAATTAGTTTGAAGGAATCAAGGATTTTGGTTCCAACACCAGAACGTGTACAAATTCTACCGCCCGCCTGCCCTTGACACGTAACTGCATGCAACTTACACGGGATCGTACTTGCTTCAGCCTCGCGGGGTAAATCGCCATACTTTGGCCATATTATCTTCTCCAATAAGGTTGTGGGATTTTATCGGACGAGCTACAGGAGGCTTGCAATTGCAAGCTACCTGCAGGCATGTATGATTCTATGAAACAAGCGTCGACAGATAGAAGAGCACAAGTGTCAAGAACAGTGCATGATCTAGCGTGATCATTTCGTGTATCGCGCCTCGCCATTCAAATATAAATATTTCGGACAGTTTCCGGACAATGCCCGGAATAAGTGGTACTCCGGGGTGTCCAAGTGGTGTTCACTATAGGTGTGGCGCTCCAAGGGTACTGATTGACCCTAACTTGTCCGTTCGTCCGCTCGCTGTCCGCAGTGTTTGCCATACGGTCTATACCAAGGGCCGTGTAGCAAGCACAGGGATAAGTAAGTAGCCATTGGCTAAACTTGTAAGCTGCTTGTAAGTAAATGTTCAATCCAGCGTCCATGCTAGATATTCATTGTTTTGTGGCATTCCAGCCTCGGCGAGGTTCTATTCTATGGACAATCTTGGCTATGCCGTTATGCATGGTTTTAGGCATGTATGCTTATGCTTGCAGAATATCGGAACCGAATTTGTTCAGTCTCTTCTGACAAAATGAACGTGCCGAATTCAAAACACAGTGAAGATCCTGACGTTAAGAACACGGTGCGCGGTATTTCGGCAAGTCCCAAAAGTGAACGGACTCTAGGTTAGGCTCAGGCCTGCTGCTCTCGAATGTCGGTTCTGTCTCATTTTTGCCGTCTAGCCAATGAGAACTTACGCAGGGAACCACGAATTCGAATCTATCATCAATCGGATTGCGAGTGTAAGTATGCGTGCGCTGTTTGTGATTCTATAATTTTCAAGCGATGTGCGAAAGCTTTACGTGAAGAAGGTTTGTTTGACCTTCTGTAAATTGATGCTGATGAAATAGGCTTTTGACTCTCAAATCGTAGGTACATACTAGGAATTGCTAGGAATTGTCAGAATTAATATCCTCGAGACTCGTATTTCGTCGTTCAAGTCCCCCAAAGGTCGCATTTGTTCGCTGTTCAAGAACCAAAACTCCGTTCACTGCAGTGTGAACGCCTCGGCGACTTGAACCCTCTTGTGTCGATCATCTTGACATTTGTCAAATTGTTCATTTCATGATCGGCTGGCTCGGGTGTAAGACGACACACACCTCTCAAAACCTGCAGCTGGCTGCTGAGTGGACGAGGAAAATTCAGGTGATTTGTCGAACCATGTAGTCTGTTAGGATTTGTGACTGAAAGCAAGGTTTAGAAGACTCTTGCAGTCGTTGCAGCTGCCTCGTCAGTCTGGCTCATTTCTGGAGCCGCCTACATATTACACGGACGCGTATGAATGGATTTTATGAATGAATATTGCTTTTCAATACAGTCAACACCAAAACTATCACCTCACCTTCTGATTCCCACTTCAAACTTTCGCGTAATTTTTCCGAGTGGAGTCCACTGGCCGAAAAGCGAGATCTCCCTTGATCTTTCCAATTCAGACAGAGGTTTTCCGGTTGGTTTCCGTAAGTCTAAAAGGTTTTGCGCTCCAGCCCGTGACTCAAAGAAAGGTATAAAGAGTGGTTGCTTCCTTCCTCTAGTTTGCATCGACTTCTTGTCATCCTTCCTTCAGCCTCCTTCCAAACCACTCTCTTTCAGCCCACTCTCTTTTCAGTCGAAATGCGTTTCAGCACTCTTTCCCTCCTCGCCACTGTTGCATCTGCTGCTTTCTCCTTCGCAGCACCCCTTACCCCTGCCTCGAATGCATTGGAGGCTCGATGCTTGTGCCAGGACATCCACAGTATCATTGTCGATGTGACGACCACGATCACCCCCATTGTTGAGGAGCTTAGTGAGTACTTCGTTTTATCATTGGTTACGCATGCTTATTATTCGTTAGCGTACATCACCAGCGAAAACTGCACAGTCGAGATTTTGACTCCTATCGTTGAGGAGCTCAAGGTTGTGATTACCACTGCCATCACTGAAGTCAAGGGTCTCACTGGGTTTACCTTGACCACTGTGTTGACTACCGTCGACGGTGTTGTTCTCACCATCGCTGAAGTTGCCGAACTTCTGTGCGAACTGCTTACTGTAAGCGTTGACTTGGTCTTGCTTTTGGGTAGAAGCTCAATGGGCATTTACAGTTGATCTTTGGTGCTCTTGCTGCCATTCTGAGGGTGGTGACTGTTTCGGAAGCTGTTGCCGTGAAAGCTTTACTCTGCGAAGTCGTCGAACTTGTTGCTACCTTGCTTCAGCTCATTTGCAACCTTCTTGGTGGTATTTTGGCCATCCTTCTCACCCTTGTGGGCGACATTGTTTTCAGTGTCATCGTATCCCTTGGACTTTCTGCCAAGTTCTCGTTCTTCAACATTTCTTGGGCAACCGTCTCATCCACCCTTATTGCTTCGACTTCCACGTTTGCGACTACCGTCTACTCGACCTCTGTCGCAACAATCACTGCTGCTTAAAGTATTGGTAAGATTGATAACCTAGTCATTGTTCATGTCTGAACTCGTTGGTTTACAGGGATGGAAGCTGCTGTTCGTAGATGACATTCATACTGATTGCTTAATACCTTATCTACCTAATTCCATAATTGTCCATCAATGCATATCCGTTCTCGTCATTGTGTTGCTATAAACTGAGATGTAAAACTTTGGGCCAGTTCTGAATCTTGCTGCAGCAAGGGCGTCTTGGGGAGTTCGGACGACGGACTATGCTAACTTTCTGAAACGTTGAATCATGGGCAAATTATGCAGAGCTACGATAAGTGCTTCGAGTCGTTTTCATCCTAATGGTCGAAGTCCGAGCAGACCTTCTGAGGCCAGATGTGTACCTGCTCGATACATGATTCGTACATGAATCGCATGTCCCTTCGAAGCAGATGAACTTCAGTACATGTTCGAGGGAAAGTAATAGAGTAAATTCTGGGTACACCAAGCATGAAAATGAGAATCATAAGTAACTTAGTAGGTGAAGATGAAGATAGGTCATGAAGATGTTATGTTCCGAAAAGAGGGTTATCACAAGAACGCAGGAGTGTTTGATATTATTATATGTGTAGTGTTAAGGAGATGGTGGCGAGTATTCCCAGTAAAATCGCCGAGGACGTTGCCCAATATGCCGAAACGTATCTGGGTTGTTACTATTCTCGGTAGTGGAAAATTCACTGCCTAAGTCGCTTGTGTATGAGACGGTATTGGCGTTTCCAACGCGGTTTGAAACAGCAGACGCATTTCCTTCTGAATCAGCGATGGCTTGGTCTGTCCTGTTAAGCCCAGAGGGCACGACGAGGGCGTTGACAGCAGAAGCTTGCGTATGTGAGCGTAGTCGCGGATGGCGATGTGGGGCTGACGTTTGCACAGATTTACGACAAACAGGACAAGTACTAGCTCCCTTAAGCCATTGCTGACGAGACAGTATATGAATATTGCAAGTCCATTGATAAAGAGATGTTGTAGACGTACCTCAAGGCAAGATTTGTGTAACCAGTGCGAGCAATCATTGAGTTTAAGAACTGGATCCAACGCTTTGTACTTTGGAACAAGGGTCAGACGAAGTTTGTATTATGAGGAAAGTGTGGCGTACATCATCTAGACAGATGGGACAACGTTTATCACATTCATCAGAAGCCCAGTCTTTATAAAAACCAGTTTTGAGCCCTGCGACAACGTGGTCAGGAGTGGCGCGAGGTTTCACTTCCCCAAGAGTTGCAGCAAGTGACATGAGGCCTTCGTAAGATTGATCAAAGTCTTCATCGCGCTAGAATGAGAAGGTCTGTGCTCAGCACATCGGCAGAAGGTTGAGAAAAAGTGCACTCACCATGTAATCGCCCAAATTAAAGTTGCCTCTGGCCCTCCGGCTTCGTCCGACTAGATCACTCAATGTAGCAAAATCGCGGTCCAGCTCCGACGTTCGATGTCTACCAAATCTAGAGGAAATCCTAGGTCGATTCGCTCGCGAGTCTTGCGAGCCATCGGGTCTGTCTAGATTACGCGCGGGAGAAGGTCTTCGACGCGTCGCCGCATTCCCCATTCTTGCGGTTGTGTTGGAGGTGGTGGAAGAGGCTGATGCTGCAGGATTTGAAGTAGACACATCGCCATGCATAGACCACGGGGCATATCGATATGATAAGTTCTGAGTATTGTCAGATTCGATATCTCCCCACGATGTAGCAGTTGGAAAAGCATCTCTTCTCTGACGATAGCGGTTAATCAACTGATGAGATCGTAGCTCGGAAAGGCCGTCTTGCCGAAGGACCTCAATAGCGTGCTGGAAGCTTTCATCACCCAATGGCGTATTAGATAGAGTTCTAGACAGTGGTATTGAACCCTCGATGAGCGAGCCCTCCATCCTTGCTCGCCTGGTTATTGCCCCATGGATGTCATCGCCTGTACGTGAAGTTTCGCGAGTTCTAGAACGAACGGAAGATGGAGTTTGACTAGGCCAAGGCGCCCTCTCGAATGAAGGCATGCGACTTTCTCGGATTAAGGATGGATTAGAATCTCGGGGCTCTTCCAGGTTATAACCAATCTAACAGAAAATAATCAGTCACACGATTTGCCTGACCTCAGGGGAACCGACCGTATTCTCTTGGTTCTCTGCTCCTATATAGGATCTAGCTTCAGAGAAAGATTCCAAATCTTCCCCAAAACTGAGAGGAGGTATTGTCGGAGCTTCTTGAGAAACATTCCTCGAATTATTCTGCGCTGCAAGCCTCTGCATAGTGCTCCTGAATGGCCCGGGAGCAAATGAATCCACATTAATACTGGGATACTGGGTGCGAGCAGTAGAGCTGGGTACAATATGGGATGGGTCTGATTGAGTTGGTGCATGACGCTGATTGGAGCGCGCTGGCGGCGATTCTTCATCTATGTCCATTGAGACTGAGGATTGGAAAGAGCTTGTGGATAGATCATTAGGAGAGAACAGAGAACCTAGATCTGGCGGTGGAATGAAAGGTGCAGAATTATTACGGCGTTCTGCGTCAATGCGTGGGGGGTAAGTGCGCAGAGGGCGGCGAAGATTAGCGTCATTTGGAACTGTGCGAGGTGATGTTTCGAGATCGGAGTCGTTTAAAAGTTGTGTCCTGGAAGATAGGAGATTGGATCTGTCATTGATTGTCCTTGCGATATCAGTTATAGATGAATGTCGGGAATCGAAGAAACCAGATGACTCAGATGAGGGTGCAACTCTGGAAGATGAACTAGGAGCACGAGACCGCGGAAAAGGTGTGATACGATTAGAACGCTCGAATTCAGTTGGTGTCGAGTGCGTTTGAGCGCGAGTGTCATCGGAATGTCTAAACCTACTCATGGCCAGCGACCGACGACGCAGCCAGTCAATCTCAGGCAGCCGTCCACCCTCTGAAGAATTCGCCGTATTAAGATCTGATGAAAATCCCACGAGCGTTTCTGAGAGGGACTGATCAAATCCAAATTGCGGTGGCGGGAGCCATGAAAGACTGTTAGAACGACGAGGTAAAACATCAGCTTCTTCCTCGCGAGTGCGGCGCTCCTGCTCTTCCAATTCTTGATCAGTGGCATCAAGTACATCAGCAATAGATCGAGGGAAATCGGATGGGCTAGGACTTCGACGTTGGTAAGGGATAGAACGCTGACTTGGAAAGGACTCCCGGTGACCTATAACAGACGAACGCCAACTATCAGTGTTTCGAGCATGATCCCTATTGAGGGGCCGATTTGATGGTCGACTCGTATCATCATGAAAGAGGTGTTCCATCAGGTCCGCACGAGCATTACGGCGCCTGATTTCTGCAGCGTTCTCTGCAACAAGGGAGTTCGAAGCACTGGATCGGGTAGAGCCAAAGACACGAGAACGCAAACGCTGGTATGCAAGGTCACCGTTGATGTTTTGCTCTGTGTAGATTTTGTTCAGAATGTTTGTAAAGTGGAACAAGAGCTGGAAACTAACCGTTGCGTCGCGGTTCCCATCTGGAAACGCCTGAACTTTCATCGATGTTTTGAGCATTATTGCTCAATGGATTTTCATCCCGCATACTCCTGCCAAAAAGGGAAGACCTCGGAACGTTTGTTGGTATTTGCGAGCGCCCGTCTAATCTTCCGCGCTCTCTTTGGAAAGCGCGAGCTTCATCTTGACGCAGTTCCGATTGATCCAGACCCAGCGCATCATTCCAAGAGAATTGCCATCGAACGGAGGCAAGAGATGAGCTCTCATCTTCTGTGTGAGCTACAGAATTAATGAAGAGCGCATCTCATGGATGATTAGAACTCTAACCTGTTAATCTATATCCAGCGGAAGACCGTTCGTCTTGGTCAAAGTTGCTCGCATTATTTGTAGTGCTTCGTCTGTGTTCCTGATTGGACGAAGTCCAACTTTCAAGGCTCTCGCGAGGATCAACTGATCCCTGCTCGATATATCTCCGCCTTTGGGCATCAGCAAGTAACTGTGAACGATAATCTGCAATGGAGAGAACATCCGTATAACGTCTCGGAGCTGATGAATCCCGATATCTTTCTGTACGATTAACCTCGATGGAATCTGATGCACGTACGGTGACATTGTCATCGTCTCGGTCATTATCTTGATCAGAAAACAAATGATCTCTGGCCATCAACGAAGCCAATGAAGGAGGGACTCGAGTACTTCGAGATGAAGTATTCGTTCTTGTCGCCGAAGTTGTCGATTCGTAATTCGACCTTTCATGTGTAGAGGACAAGAGGCCCGCAATGATGTCCTCATCTTCTTGATCTTGATCATCATCTTCGCCACGGTCAAGATATCTATTGGTTCTTGGAAAAGCGAAAGCCCACTCTGGTATTGCTCCCCGCAGTCCACGACTGCCAAGATTTACCCACTCGTCATCAGTGTCTGAAAGAGGAAGAGGTGTTATGCTCCTTGCGGCGGCAGCGACAGATGAAGATGGAGGGTGTTCTGGTACTGTGGTATCAGCAGAAACTTCAAACCATCTGGCCAATTCGCGATTGAAAGGGACTGATACCGGGACAGAAGACAATTGCTCAATCGATTGAGAGGGTGGTCGACGAGGAACTGTTAAACCTGTAGATTGCTGAGGCGAAGGGTGTCGATGAGATCGGGTGGTGGGTATAGGTTCGAGTGCTCGACTGGAACGCTCAGTGGAATTATAGCGATTCTGACGTTCACTAGTAAGAGGTCCAGTAGTTGTGTCTCCAAGTCCGGACGGGGAGACGGATCGTGAAAAGGAGTCTCTGGGTCTCGAAAGGACGGAATGAGACGCAAGATATAACGGCCGGATCCTGGACTCGGAATTGGACAACGATGTAGGGTCGGGTGACGGAGAAGGCGAATTGAAGATATCCCTCGTTCGAGGAGAGAGATTGGCCGTCTCATCAGCGCCATTTCTCATGTTGTTTAAGACCAATGTCCGCCACGGCCGAGAACTAGAAGCACCGGATGGGGCGGGTGGCGCTCGATCATTGTATTGTTGAGTGTGACGGGAGCTACCCGGAAGATTGCTGCTCTCAATGTCAGTTTCCCTTTCGTCTGTCCTAACAGCGTCCAATGCAGACGTTAGCCTTTCTCGGAATGAGGAAACGTCATCGGCTTCGAGGAGTCCAACGGCGGTGTTGAGTCGTTCTCTGAAGGAAACGTAACGCCCTTGACCCATAGGAGTTTCGTTAACGTCATTTGCGTTATCTGCGTTGTCGATGTTGGGAGGTATGTCAGACACTGGAATAACAGTGGACAGAGTTAAAGACGAATCATACACCGGTGAAGGAAGGCGAGGTGGGGCATCTATATAAGGCATGTCAGGTTAGTGTTTTATGAATAAAGCTGTGGTGACGGACTCAGTCCACGATTCTCGCGATGGGATAACGATGCTGAGCTAGTGAGTGATGGTCGATCAATATCAATCGACTGAGATGCAGTCGTAGGAGAATGTAGAAAAGGTATATCGGTCGGCTGTTCCTCTTCAGACAAAGATAGAGGTGGTAGAGTGGGTGGTGGCGTGGGTGATCTTCTGCTATGAGGGGAAGTGGATCGAGAGTGCTGCAATATTTCGATTTCTGAGTCGGATCCATGGAATGCTTCGACAGTGAATCTGTATTCATTGGTACTTGAGGTCGAATTGGTGTCGGCTCCAGGACCTTCTTCATAATCAAGCATCTCAATATCCTGAATATCTGAAATATCTGGTGTTGGCAGCCTAGGAGGATGAGAATCTACCAAAGCAGTGACCAGCCGAGTAGATGATGATCTTGAGGGCTCTGCAGTAGGCACATTGTCCTCGCTGAGGCTTGTATCGCTTGAAGAGGTGAAAGACGACGACCTCGAGCTCCTGAATGATTCACCCCCATCTGAAAGACTACTAGCGCTTCTTGCTCTCTTCCTTTCATTTCCAGTACGAGTATTGCGATTGCCGGCACTTCCAGAAGCTCTGTTTCCAGCGCTACTGCCTCCTGGTTCTACGCCACTTGTGATAGGACTCTCCTCTAAGTCGAAACCAAATTGTTCAAAGGAACGCTTAAATGAAGTTGTATTGGCTGGAAGGGTAAGGTGTAGCTGAGGGGGACAATTAGACGACATGAGTCTGGAGCAGATGGTGAGAGGCAAAACAACGCTGTGGACGTCGTAAAGCCGCCGGACAGAAAGGTGACAAATTCGGCTATTCGGCCACTTCTTTCACACCACCACCACCAACGACCAATCCACAAACACTGAACATGTACACCACTCGAATATAAAGCTATAGATCGCCTGTATCCAAATATCCCCTCAAATAGCAATGTTGTACATTCTGTACCAACTCACCATTCGATGAGTGTTCTCTGGTTCCCCGGCCATCTCTTACAACAGCAACTTTTCATTAGATCGATTCTTCAAGCTCCAATATGGAGGGTGATGCTGTGTCTTATGCTGTTCATCTGTTCTTACCTGCGGTCCAATAGGCTCAACGATGTTTGGTCTGTTGATTTGTCCGCTTAAATCGTCTTTCATCCTAGCTTTCAGGCTGCTGCTGGTTTTCCGTCTTTCTATTGTATCTTTCGTGCTGTTGTCCGGTGTATTACTGGCGAAATTTTCATCTTCAGGTTCAAGTGCCTTTCTACATGACTTTATCGATACTCCTGCTGTTCAGCTGTATAAACGGAAATGGTTAAAAGCGTGGTCTGCCTCTTCTTCTCTCTTCTTCCACCCGTGCGTCACGATATAGACCTACAATCTGGAGGAGCAACTCCTTTGTGCAGACCTAGCTCAAGATGTCCACCGGAGCTCATCGTCGTCGCCAGCTTCATCGGCGGTCTATTCTTGTGTTTGCAACAGATCAGCAATTGGTCCATATAATCACAATCTGCGTTTCCGCCTTCGGGTTCATTCCGATAATGCACTCGGGTCGTGGTTGTAATTCTTGCATTCCTTTTCTGTACTTCCTAATTGTTATACCCTTGTCTTCTATTAATGTGGATGCATGTCCTATTGGGCCGAGAACGAACACGTCGGAAAAGTTTGCAAGCGTTGCGGGGAAAGAGGAGGGTTCATCGGCGCAGACCTCAGAGGGGACCATGAACGAGGATGAACGAGCAGCGCTGGATTGTGCCCTTTATCTTGAGAGGAGTCCGGATGTCACCGGAGAATCACCCAATGACTGGGATCAGAGTGTTGGGTACGTCGACTGTTCGCTGATAATTCTCGAGGCCATGGTCTCTCTTTCATTCATATATATATGATTTACTTATTTGGCTGCCCCACCCGATTCCCCCTCTTCCTCTCTTTAGGCCTGATGGAACTCAAGATATCGACTCAGCGTCCACGATCAACACAACTGTCGACCCGACGGATTCTGCTGTGAACAAGAGCGTATCGCATTCCAATACCAGTACGGGTATCAGTCCCGAAAATACTGTTAATACTATATCGACTTCTATTACATCAAATATAACTCAAACGACGATTGTTGGCGTAACTACAAAACTGAATAGGCATTCAGCTTCGTCAGCAGTCCTTCCTACCGACATGCCCATCGTGACTCAGGCAAAATCTTGGACAACAGCTGACGAGCATTCTACTGTAATGCCAACGAGGGGCGGCATACGGGTAGATGGTATGCAAATGATGAGCTCAATGGGAGGTACTAGAGCTAACTTAGGCATCTCGGGTAGGAATAATTAATGCATCGTTCGAATTGATTCTACATTCAGCGGATGCGGAAATCTTCAGACCTACTGAGGACCCACCCTCGAGTCCAAAAAGTCCGATTTCGCTTCCGAGCTTATTGACTGTGACCAACGAGGCAGGGGGTAGTGTTTTTTACAACTCTGCATGTGAGGTGGATGACGACGCTCTCATGTTAAGACTCCTTGCTGGTCTTGTAACTGCCATTTTGGTCCTGCATCTAGTCAATGTGAGTTCACTCTTTTGTTATTAAGCCTCACACGCACATCTCATCGAATCCACAGACAATGAAAATATGGTATAACGACTGGAAGAAGTCCAAATACCGTCATCAAAGTGACAGGGAATCATCATCGTCCAAATCTATTCGGGATCCTTATAATGAGGAACTTGCAGAAATAGTTCAGCCTTTTCAAAAAATATCTCGGGCCGTGGATCTTGCTATCGATACCAATGTTACCAATACGAGGACGAGGACTAGGGACGCGTCTCTCGTTTCCAATCCTTCCTTGCCCATCCACAAAAGCGCCATATATACTCCTTCAAATCCCGCACACAGCTTAACGAAGCTTCAGAGATCATATGTCCAACGCGCATCGAGGGGAGTGCATCCGCCTTCCTACCAAGAACGTGTTGAAAGCTTCGAGACGGTGTAGCATGTCTTGTTTAGGTTGAACGAGGGAAGACGGATCATTACATGAGACTTACAGTATCCAGCTACACGAGCATCCGGTCTCAGGGCGTTCGCAAGAGGGCAAGGTTGAGCTCACGACTTGCTCGCGCCGCTGCTGCTGTAGATCCCAGCAGAGTCCCTACAAAAACCTAACCACATTACTACAGACAACTTTGATGTACATAAGTTATCGACCCCACCTTCATGTCATTGGGAAAAAATTTCAATCACATCGTCTATGTAAATAACTATATGTACTCTCTAATCATACCCCATCCACCAAGAAAATTAGCACTAAGTACAAGACGTTCTGTGGCAGTGCAGTGACTTTGTTCCGCTTTGTGCATGCTGCTATTGTTACCACGTGTGAGACAACTTCACAATACCACCTTTCTCCTTTATATTTTCATAATCTGCTTCGAGTCCGTAGATATTCGTACCATCCATTCCCTCACACCCACACTTTACTCCCGCTCACTAGTGCAACGGTCAATAAGCAGATATTATCTTTCTGCAACAAGGAAGACAGAAGGAGAAACAATGCCCGATTCCGCGATATCGTCGCCTGGGGCCTCACGCTCTACTCGCTCCCTGAAGCGTTCCGCATCAGCTGCGTCACTTCCTACTCCGCCGAGAACGAACCGACGACGGAAAAATAGGAAACTGCGTAGTCTTAAAGCAGTAGAAGAAGAAGCAGGTGGTGAAGCGAGCTCGGATGAAGAACAAAGACAAGAAAGGCATTACAAGAGGCGAAGGATCAGTAACGTGCCAGAGGAGAACGAGGAAGACGAGGAGGCGTTTTGGACGGCTGGATCCCCAACTTCTCACAATTTTCAGAAAGGAAAAGCGAAGGAGGCTGACGAAGTTGAAACAGAATCTGATTCAGACACAGCGACTTCATTTCTCTCTCGCCGCGGGCAGAGGTCGTCGACAGTAGGCAGTGCTCCAGTCTCACCGCCTCCGTCTCATCGTCGTATCCCAGCTGCAAAAATTGCTTCTATCGCACCGGCGCTGCAGCTTTTGCCAGTTGTTGAAGAAAACCCGAGTCCAAGTGGGACTTCACCACCTGCAACACCTAAATCTTCCAAAGTACTCGCTTTGAGGGATTCCCCGTATAATCCGTTCTTGGCGTCGCCTCTGGATTTGGATGATGTCGCCTCTACATCCAAATCGTCGAAGACGTCAACAGGGCCCCTTCAGGAAAAACCAACCGTGACTTTCATTTTGTCAGTACTCTTTCCTCTTACACTAAATCATTGCTTATTCATATGCTTCATTTACAGTCGCGGTGTCAAAAAGGAATATCCTAATCCGTATTATGACCACACAAAGGACAAGCCACGATCACCTGAGCCAAATTCACTGTTGCCGCCCGAGCACAAAGACTACACACCTGATCTTAGAGGTACCCCTCGAGCACTGTGGCCCAGGAAGAAGAAGGCAGCACTACTCTCAGCTCCAGAGTCGCCGAGTAATCGAGCAAGCCGTAGGAAGGCGCCTGTTCGGTCTGTTCCCACTTTGACGGAAAGTGATGATGAGTTGGATGGCAAAGGTGATGATGAGGAAGAGGTTTCGCTCAGGCCAGTGAGGCTCTTTGGTCCAGGTGGTCGTCATCCCGGGTTCACACGATCGTAGTGTGTGTGCTTTCTTGCTCTTTGCCTTTTTTCCTCCTGCTTCCCTCGTGTGCCACCCAACCGTTTCGAGTTCTTGTTCATGTCTGTCCTTGTGTTTCCTCCCGTGTTGCGAGCTATCGTCCTGTGGATCTTATCACGACCACTTTCAAAAAATGCTCTATTGCCCCGCTTGAACTGATATTTTCTCATTTGGTCTTCTATACTTCGTCGTTGTGTGCCTCGAAAATTGCGCTTGTTTTCCTGTCCCTTTTCCTCTCTTTTATTTTTTCCTTTGAATGTTCGCAATGTCTATACACTGGTTTTGTCCGCGACACCTATTACACCTTCCACTTCTATCCCGTCTACTCCTACTCTCATACTACGGTGACACCTGTTAAGTTTATCCCCTATCTCCCGTTATCGCTGTGTTACCCTATGCGCTACGCACATCTGCCATTTGCGTGTAGAGTTTTCAACTGCAACCTCCAAACACCAACACATCTCAACATAAATTAGTTATCCTTATAGCTCATCTACTACATTTATATGATTCAATCCACCTGAACCTCCATATTTTTAAATGTCTCAACGGTATAATCTTCGCGATGAAGTTCAACTATGGAAACTAACGTCCATCCTCGTAAGTAAGGGAGCAGCAGTGTATTCAAATTCAAACGAGGTTCTCGTGTTGTGATAGTGTGAGTAAACTTTTTTTCTTCTCGTGAATTCTGGCTTGCGAGACTGCACTCAAACAAGCAGTCAAACAAGTCTTGAGGCATTCCCCTTCATATCCATGTTGTCTTCTCCAAAGCTCAGATGGTACTCAGAGGTCGTGGTTGTGGATTGCCCACTGTTTCCTCCGACCGAGGCAAACCTTAGAGCAGAAACCTTCGGTCCCTCATTACCTCCGACGATCATAGGGACGGAGTTTAAACTCCCAGTGTTGTTCGCTGTACTCGGGTCAATGTCAACATTGACACCCATAGCGACCCGCACAATGATCAATGTAGGCGCAATTGCCTAGAGCTCGAGGTTACTCTAAACTATGACGGCAGATTTCGTTCAATATTCCATACTCTTTATTGATCCGCATAGTGCCTTGGACTTCGAATTCAACTCATCATTTGCTCTATTTCAAACTGGCAGTTGTGGATTCTCCGAGATCTTTACATCTAGTCTCGACATCTTTGTGGACATCTTCAAAGATTCCTTTCTGTGCCTCAACTGTTGGGGTTTCGTTCCTTCTGATCTTCACTTCACCTCTCTATTTAGATGATCAACTAGTTCTTGATACGTTACCAATGGTCTCTCTCGATGTTAGCAACTCCTTCCCAATGTGTTGCCAACTGTATCCTCAATATCGGCTATTAGCTTGGAATCAGATTGGATATACCTTACAGGATTATTCCCGTCGATGTTATACCCAATAGTCATATATACTAAATGAATCTCATTTTTCTGCCCATAACTCCCAGCATCCTTCGATCATAAGCAATGGATGGCAATACTGGCAATGGCGGGGACGGTAACACGAACAGTGACCAACTCTACCGCCTACTACAGTCTTTCATGGCCACACCAAATGCTCAAGGGCTTGAGTTGACGGGTCAGAATCAACATCCTACGACACTTTTTCAGGTAGATCTGCCTCATATTTTCCCCTTCTATTACCTGACGCTATATGCAGTCCTTTTTGCGTTCGCAAGCATTAACACAGAATTTACCCAGTCAAGCTGGGCCATATCCAGCATTTCCCTCTGTTCAATCCTCGTCGCAGGCACCTACTACTTCATCACAGAATACACATTCTTCCTTACCTCCTAGTGCTTCCCTTTCAGCACCACAAGCCACATACATGTCCCCTTCATTTGATCCCATGCGGCAGTCCCAAGTACCGTTCCAGAATCAAGCACAGTTTCTCCCATCTTCGCAATTGGTGCCGAGACCTATTCCACCCCCTCCACCTTCTAATCAGCCTCCGTCACTATGCACTTCTTCAACTGCTCCATATCCATCACAGTGGCCCATACTTCAGACACCTTCCGTAGGTTCACACCAAGCTCTTTCTGCACCACCGCTTTCCTCTTCAAGTCAACACCAGACTTCGAACATTGAGGCACGACCTCTCTCTATCGTTGAACCTGAATGTGGTCAGACATTACCAACTTTACCTCCTCCAGCCCCTTCCGTGTGCAGGCCATATACTAGCATGCAAGCACATGGTGCAACTGATGGGTATGGTCGGGTTGTTGGTTCCCAGGGACATTCTCGTGTCACTACGGCTTCAGGCTTTCCAGGGCTGACAGTTATTCAGCGCACTAATCATACACGTCTTGACCATGCCAGCCAGTCCCTTCCCCAGAATTCTAAAAAAGAGAAAAGGCGTGGAAAGGCCATCCGGCCTCCTGGGCTTGGTCGTAGAGAACGAGTCCCAAGTATTGATGACTGTATCAATGTAGCTTCCGGAGGAGTAGAGGTTATGAGCATCGATGTTCTGGTTTATCTACCGCTGCCTCCAACAGGAGAAATCAATGTATGCATTTCTCCCCTCTTGATATTCTTTCTACTGAAACCTCGTCATCTGCTAGTTCTACCGTCTTCCAAGGCAACTTATCTTCTATGAAATTAACAAGGAAGCATACCGTATGGTGCTTAATGCGTTGGGCCTGTTTCACCAGTACCCGAATCTTCCAACTTCTACTACCATCTTCGATTTATTTTCCGATATCACAGTCAAGCTAAGGCAACAATACAGTCTCCCATCAGTTTCCTCGTCATTACCACTTGCTCCGCAAGAACTTCTACCTCTTCAACTCCTGGGTTTCAGCAATCATGGCCGGGCTAATGGATCATACAGTACTTCGAAACTCAGACCAATGCCCTACGAGAGATACACAACCATTCAAGATATTCTGACAAACAACTTTGGTACATATGTAATTCCGAAACTGGTTATTACTCGTGACAATCATTTCACTCTTCATGCTAGTGAGTGAGATCTCACTTCTCGAACTTCAATTGATGGTCTGACTTCAACATGACAGTTATTCGAAGTCACCCACTTGAGGCAAATGTGAGCCTTGCTCAAGTATACCTGGGGTCTGATAATACCATCCGTCCTCATCGATGTTTGTCAAAACGTCTATACAGTATGTTCCGCAATGACTCTGATGCCAACCTCAATGTACATGCTTTGGATGAGGAAGAGATTGAGGGGTCGTGTGAGCCAGATGACGATGACAATGATGAAGAAGCAAGTGTTCTAATTTCGAGCCAAGTCTATTTGCTAATTTTTATACTCAGGACTCGAGGGTTGTAGCTCAATCTTTGACAACAACATCAGTAGAAACAGATGACGAGGAGCCCCAACCATCATCGGGACTAGAGCTAAATAGTAACGTGTCTCAATCTACTTCTACGCTAGTACGCCAGGCCTTTAGTCCTTTCATCCTTTTTCTAACAGTATCCATTAGGTCTCAACATCCTCAATAGTAGGCCCGATGTTACCTAAGAAGCTATGGGAGGAGCCCTGGACTCAGCCTGCTCCCCTCAGTTTTATCCCCATATTTTTTGATGATGAACGTACTCCAACTATTTTCAAAATTGTGTCCGAGGTTCAACGACAAGGGTCAAACTGTCCCGGATTCCAAGTCAAGGGTACTGATGAACAAGAGCTTGCAGCAAAGTTCATTGCACAAATGAAGAATTCGGTACAGAGTGGAGATTGGAGCAAAATTTTATCTCCGACCCGTCACTTTGTCTGGTAAGCTTAATTTTTTAAAAAGATTCTCGAGATGGTCACTAAATTTGCCATGGTAGTGTAAATGATCAGGACGATTACATTTCTTCAGGCCCCGGTCTCGAACAGTCAACAATTGCTGAAGTTTTCCGCCAATTTTTCGAGGAACGTGAAAGTGAATTCTGTATGCCACTTTATGAGGGATACACAACACTTCAAGCTGCTGATGTACAGATATCATCCAACAAGCATGAAGAGCTGGTTTTATTTGGGGCAGTAACATCGTTGGCTCTTGTTTATGGTCATTACCCTGGTCACTTAAATCCTCTTCTCCTCATCTATCTACTCAATGATTGCAACACATCCTGTCTTCATCGAGATCTGGTCTCCTCATATTTGCCTTCTCTCAGTGAGACACTGGACCACTGGCTAAACATTGGACCTATGGATAGCATTGCGGACTTTACTTCTCACTTTGCCTCATATCACAACATCCAGGTGCGATGCTTATGGCTTTTATTTGCATTTGACTAACTTCTATGATCAGCCTGGAGTCTTAAATGGGCGGTCTGAAACTGGTCACCGGAAGCTTGCTTGGGAAATGTTGCACAATGCAGTCATTGGTCCCATAGACGTTGAAAATGCATATTTTACGGCTTTTATCAAAGGTTTCTTGCTTCCTTGCTCTACCGGTGTTGATTTAGTCGATGTGAGTATAAACCGTGCATTCAAACATTAAAAACTCAACGTTTCTGCTCAGATTGTGCGCAGCTTCTTTGGAGGTGCTGAAGAATTTGTCCGAACCGCAGAAATGTCTACAATACGTGGTTTCGATTCTCTCAATATTCGCATCGTTGTTAGTATTGGAAATCAATTGCTAGATGAGCTAGCCGATGCGTTTAGCAATGCTGGCCCTAACTTTGCGGGGAGGATCTTTCAAGATATTGTAAAAGATTTTCTTATAGGCATTGGAGCACCGTGCCCAGAACTATTTGCTGGCATCGTGGATAGGCTCAGCCCCGAGGTTAAGGCCAGCTTGACTGGACTGCAGTCTCCTACATTCCGAATGCGATTAATGTGTTGGGCAGCAACGGGTGCTACTAGGGTATTGCGTGACAGCAACCCAATGCAAGTGAGTATTCCGTTATAATAATCATAAATCCATACTCACCTCTGTCAAGATTATTCTTGTGGAAGATGACGATTCTTTATATCTTCCTCAAGACCTAAACAGTCCTGGCTTACGCGAAGCCTATCTCTCATCAGGATCTTGTTCCTTCCGG